AAACTGCAGCAGATAGTCTCCATGCTTTTTCCGAGCAGTTGTCTTTTGTTGATGTATGTGAGGTCGACTCGGTGATGTGGCTTATATCTTGACTTTGTAAGTTTCAATCTTTGTCGCTAATTATCAGTATCAATGTTTTGATGTCACTGGGGATGATATTTGATTTCTCAGCTGAATTAGTGTTCTCTGGTATACGAAATAGAATTTCAAGATGTGGCCAATCTGGTGAAACTCTAAGAAATATATGCTCTATAGCTTCTCTCTTTTGGAGAATTGATACAGTAGGTCCTTTTGAATATTATCCTTTTGAATTACTAAGTTACTGGATGATGCTGAGACAAAACCATTGAAAGATCAATTTTGTTAGAGTTATGTCATTCTGCTGGTTACACATTATAAATCACAGGATTTAGCAATACAATGCATCGACCAGTACTATAATATGAGAAAATAGAATCAGAAATTGTTGTTTCATGGTAACATCACTAACTGGCTGCTGTAGCTTATTTGTCTTCCGAGGATAACATACTTAACATTGCAAGATTGTCTCATATTTCGATCTTAAAATTGTATGCTGACTTGATAACTTTGTTAATATGGATAACAGTCTATGTATCCCATCTCACAAAAATAATAATGTATTGCAGTTTAAGGCCACAGAGTTCTGTTTTACAATAGTTGTGTGCTTCAACAAGTTAAATATGCCTTCTGGTTATAAGAAAAAATTGGCAGATATCTCTAGGCATGAAGAAACTGCTCTGTTTCAATCAATGTTTCTCAGGTTAGAAGTTTCAAAACATATAATTATTAATAAAGAAGTGAAGTTTATGTACATTATCTAATAGCATTTTCTACTCAACCAGTAAAATAATGCCTTTTGGTCATCAGAAGAAAGTTGCAGATACTTCTTGCATGTAACGCTAGCCAGCCTGGTTGTAAAACCCCATTCCTGATTTTAGTTAGATCATGAATTGTATTTAGTTAATTAATTCTTTTTTTAATTTGATATTTGGTATTGTGGTAAGATAGGGGTATTTCTGTCAGTTTTTAAAGCTGCATTAAGGGGTGAAATCGAAGAAATAAATCCTGATGGGTTTGCATGTATCAAGAGGGAAAAATTTGGACATTTTTGCTAGGGAAAGCTTATGTTGCTGGGTTAAACTGAAATTTAGAGAAATTGGGGGGCAGAAATAATTTCAGAAAAGTGTTTGTTTAAAAGGAGAAGGAAACTGGGCAGTTCGCCCAAATGAAGAAGAAGAAAACGAGAGCAGAAGAAAGAAAGAAGAGAGGAGAGAAAGGAGAAAGAAAAAAAAAAAAAGGGAGAGAAGAGAAGAAAGAGTGGGTTTGGCCGAGAGATAGAGTGAGAAAGGAAGAGAAGAAAAAAAAAAAAAATAAGAACAAAGAGAAAGGGAGAGGATATATTAGTTTTTAAGTCTGTGAACAGCGCATCATCAAATCGTGATTTAGAGCTCATTTGCCGTCCGATCGTTCTGATTTTTGGATATGTTGTTCATGAAACACAGCTCTACATTCTGAACGGTGGAGATCGAAATTCAAGCACTGTAATAGGCAGCCAATTATAGGATTAGAAGAGTGAGTAGTTTTAACGAAAACTTTCCTTAAAAAAAAATTTCAGATCTATGCTTGCATGTTAATTTCTAGTGTGCCATTTTTGTATTTTGATGAGGTTTGAGTAAATGTGAAGCTTGCTTGATTTATTTTTCTTTGCATGTTTCGGACAGTTCCAGAGTGGTTTGTTTGAGTTTCTTTTAAAATGAAATGAACTTGCTTGCTAATCGCACTTTGCATGCATTTGGTTTTTCAATAAACTGTGATGGTGGCTGCATATTTGGTTGCATGCACTCCTGGACTGCATTTTGAGAGGTTGTCAACTGGGCTGAGTTTTGTGTAAGCTTTGTTTGTCAAATGCTTGGAAACGCTAGCCTTATCTGGGTAGAGATGAATGTAATTGTTGGTAATTAGGTGAAGGAGAAAGTGAGTAGTTAGAGAAGGGATGTTGACGTGTGCAGTTAAGTGAGTTTTAAAGTGCTTTTTCCTTTATTTTGTCAAAACATGCATCTTTCCTTATTTTTCAAAAACATGCATTTGTCTTTCCATTAATTGTCTTGTCTTGTTAAAAAAAAAAAAACGGTAAGAGAGGAAATGCATATTAAAAGGAGGATTAGTGCAGATTTTTTTTATAATGCAAAGTGTTGAGGCTGGCTGTCAAATTGTTAATGGGTAGTTTTGTATTAAGATGAGAGATTACCATAAATCTTAACCTCTTTGTTTTTCTAGGGATTAAATTATTATTTTTGGTGATAATGAAATCTGGGCTTCATAATTGTATTGATAAACTTCCTAATTTTGGTAAAGGTTTCATGATTGTGACGTTTTTAATTTGGGAAGGTAAGCTAAGTGAGCAATTAAAAAGGGCTGAACTGTCTGTTTTTGAAACATGTTTAGAAGATTGCAGTTTTAACCCCTATATGTGATTTTTGAATATTTGATAGCTGTATAGCATGTGCTTGACTTATATGTTACTTGAGATTATGCATGAGATTGTTATGGTGCTAAAACCCCTACGAAGTACCCATCCCCCAGAGATACAGATTGTTGGCTCTGCCGAGCGATGCAGGATTCCGTCGGGTATGACAGTTCTCAGATTTTGGCTCTGCGCATGCGTATGACAGATTTTATTGGCTCTGCCTGGGCGTTGAGTGGTCCGTCAGGTATGACAGTTTTGAGGTCTGCCCCGCGCGATGATAGACCTCGCCGGGTAGACAGGTACGTCCCTCGCTCTCCTGCGTGTGGGACGCCCACCAGGTATGACAGATTTTCCCCAGGTACTAGTTGTGGTGAAGTTTTAATAATAAATGTTGAGGTTTTATACAGAATCCGATACAGTTAAAGGAGTAAGTCAGAGTACAGTTTACTGAGTGCAGGATGATTGAAATAATTATAATTGTATGCGAGAACGGGCTGGTTGTTCTATTGCATATTCTAAAATTATATTGTTGCCATATTTGCTTGAAAATTGTTGTATGTTAGCATTATTCTTTTTTTTTAAGAACTTTTATAAACCTCCCCCTTTTTCCCCACTCACTGAGTATTTCAGCTCACCCCTTTTTAAATGTTTTTCCCCCCCCAGGACCTTCCGAGATCGTGCCGAGCAGTGAGCCTCTGCTCAGGGTTGTGCCACACGTTGACATCTTTATGTGGGTCTTATATTTATGTCGCATTGTAAAATTTGGGCTTTCGTTTCAAGAACTCATGTTTTCCTTCATGTATTTCCTTTTGTTTCATATTTTGGAATGTGTAGTATGTGGAAAACCTGATACCACAAGTTTTCCTAACTCTTTTCTTTGTAAAACGAAAGATGCTGCATGTCTTTTTTTTATGTTGAAATTGAATTACTATGATGTTATTCAGGAAAAGTATGTCTTTAACAGGTTTCGCAGTTTTTCTACATGGCATGTCTCGGGTATCCAGTCTTGTGGGAGCGCCCGGATCCTACGGATGAGGAAATTCGGGAAGGTTGTTTCACTGATGGTAGCTAGACCTCATTGGCATGAAGGAACTGTTCTGTTTCTGTAACTTTCGTCTTTCTCAGGTTCGAAGTTTCAAAAGATATATTTTTAATATAGGTTCATGCGAAAGTTTTGTTTTGTTTTGTGTATTTCTGTGTATTGATTCTGTGTATTTCTTTTAGATTATTTCATGCGAAAGTTTTGTTTTGTTTTGTTTTTTTTTGAAGCTGCAGCAACCAGGAAATCCTGCACTGGAGACATCTTGTGAAAGAACTGTTGAATATCAGGCACCACTTCAGTTTTAAAACTGATAAGGTTCCATCAGCTTATTTCGCGGCAACGATGAAGCGAAGTTATTTAATGGTGAACTGGATTAACGTTACATTACGTTAAGGTTTCATTATGTCACACGTTAGAATGTGCCAAATTCGATTTTTGAGAATAGCAAAAATCATCTACAATGTCTCCGTAGAAACTATAATTTATTATAACCGTCCGTTGATATATATATCTGCGCTTATGCATGTTACTATGTACAAGTGAAAATACAGGAGAAAAGTCCTCGGAAATGAATTTGGAAACTTTAAAATAACGCTTTGATAAACGGCAATGGGTTGTCCCAAGACTACTGAAAAGGCCAAACAGTCAGCAATATCCAGACCTGTTTAAGAGCAGGTTAATGATCATAATCACTAACAATGAATTTTTACTTACATTTAGTTTCCATCAGCTTGCCATGTTTGTAACCTGGCCATAGGTACTCTCAAAGTTGTAGCGAATTTTTGGAAGACAAGGCCAGGGAACCTTTAAGCCTGCCTTTGTTGACTAGTTTACTTTGATACTAAAAAGTTTTGGTCCTTTGTTACTATAAAATTCCTTTTGGTTCACTTGAGCTCTGCCACTCTGAAGTATTTGTATATAAACGTAAGGGGCCTTTGACTTCGATCATGCATATTTCAGTTTCATTAGGCCGGAGCCGGAGGTACCAAACGACAAATATTTAAAAGCGCACCACTAGTATTATCTGTCACTTAAGCGACCGATGTGTCGGTTATAATATACAATAGCCGGCTGCCGGCATGCAATAAACTAACAAAAATCTCCCTCTCACACCAGCAACTTGCAATTTCTCTAACCAAGAAAGTCAAAGGTTGGCTGGTTGGAGATGAGTAGATGCTGCGTCAGTGAGTCCAAATATGGTTTATAATAAGATGTGATATCCAGGTAAAGCTGAGTCAGTTCCTACTCATCGGTTATAATATACAATAGCCGGCTGCCGGCATGCAATAAACTAACAAAAATCTCCCTCTCACACCAGCAACTTGCAATGTCTCGAACCAAGAAAGTCAAAGGTTGGTTGGTTGGACATGAGTAGATGCTGCGTCATTTGTCGATTAGTACTAAAGCATAAACTTGTATAAGATTCATTTGGTCTTTATCTGACTATAAACACTGATCAATTACCACAAAAATAAACACACCAACCATTTCAATTTCTCAATCTCTGCTTTCATCAATTACGTTACATCTTTCAATATGGCTGAAGCGCTTGTGGAGATTGTGTTGGAACAATTTGTTTCAATCATTCGTCAACAGGCGGAAGAAGGGATAAGTGTTATTGCCGGTGCTGAGCGAGAAGTTGAGAAGCTTCAAAGCAACTTCTTGTCCATTCAAGCTCTACTTGCTGATGCTGAGAACCGACAGGTGAAGGAGAATGTTGTGAGAGTTTGGTTAGCCAAGCTGAAAGACGTGTCTTATGACATTGACGATGTATTGGATGAGTGGAACACCGAGCTTCAGAAATTGAAGATTAAGAAAGCTGAAGATGCTTCTAATTCTCTGAAAAAGGTACGTTCCTTCATTCTTCACTATCTCGGTTGTAGGCCATTGGTTATGCGTTATGACATTGGCGTCAAGATAAAAAATCTTGACAGAAAACTTGATATTATTGCTGTGGAGAGAGAGAGATTCCACTTTAGACCAATCATCGAGAGTAGCAAAGAAGTAGAACGGCAAATCGCCACCTCTGCTATTGATTTAACAGAGGTTCGAGGAAGAAAGAAAGAGAAGAATTCACTAGTCGATTTGCTCTTGAGTCAAAGTAGTCAACAACAAGTCCTCCCTATAATCTCGATAGTAGGGATGGGAGGAATTGGCAAGACAACTCTTGCTAGATTAGCTTTTAATGATTATAAGGTGAACACCCATTTTGATAAAAAAATATGGGTGTGTGTTTCTGAGCCTTTCGATGAGCTTAATATTGCAAAAGCAATCCTTGAATCTCTCACAAGTAGTCCATCACAATTAGTTGAATTAGAAACTGTAATGCAAAACATAGGTAGACAAATTAGAGGAAAGAAGTTTCTTCTTGTCTTAGATGATGTATGGACTGAAAATCGTAGAAATTGGGAAAATTTAAAACATACTCTCATGTATGGATCTCTAGAAAGTAGAGTTTTAGTGACCACACGGAAGGAAAATGTTGCAAATTTCATTGGAACCACAAACAAAATCTTACTAGGAATACTACCAGAGGATGAATGTTGGTCTTTGTTTAGTCAACTTGCAATTTTTGAAACAACCAATAAAGAGTTTGAAGAAATTGGTAGAAAAATTGTTAAAAGGTGTAAAGGTTTGCCTCTTGCTATAAAGACTTTAGGTAGTCTTTTGCGCTTTAAAAGAGAATTTGAAGAATGGGAAAATGTCTTAGAGAGTGAAATTTGGGAATTAGAAGAGGTAGAACAAGAGGTTTTTCGACCTCTACTATTAAGTTATTATGACTTAGCCCCTACTTTGAAAAAATGTTTCTCATATTGTGCTATGTTTCCAAAGGATTATAAGATAGAGAGAGAACAACTGATTAAGTTATGGATGGCACAAGGTTATTTAAAGTCAAAAGACTCAAAAAAGGATATGGAGTTAGTTGGTGAAGAGTATTTCAAATCTTTGACAATGCGTTCTTTCTTTCAAGATTTTGAAAAAGAGGAATACGATATTGATATATATTCCTGTAAAATGCATGATATAGTACATGATTTTGCTCAATTTCTAACCCAAAATGAATGTTATACAATAGAGGTTGATGATAGAGGAGAAACTGAATTAGAATCTTCTTATGATAAAGTTAGACATTCAATGATAAAGATTCAAGGAGGGGCCTCATTTCCTAGCTCTATTTATACTAGAAATACTTTTCTACGTAGCCTTGTGGTTGATTGTAATTACGGTACTGACCCTAAGATAGTTTTGTCCAAATTAGTTGATCAATTTACATGTCTAAGGTCATTATCTTTGAATGAGTGCTCAATTACAGAAATTCCTATAGAAATAAAAAAATTAATACACTTGAGGTACCTTAATTTGTCTTGGAATGAAAGCATAAAAGAATTGCCTGAGACATTGTGTGGGTTATATAATCTACAAACCTTAGACATCAGGTGGTGTAGAAATATCAAAAAACTACCTCAAGGGATTGGAAACTTAATCAACTTGAGACATTTGTTAAATCGGGAGACTGATGGTATTAGTTACATGCCAAAAAGTTTGGAGAAATTAACTGGTCTGCGAACATTAGAAAGATTTGTTATAAGTGAGAGCAGTTATGGTAGTAAAGAATGTTGTGTTAAATGTCTAGAAAACTTCAAACACCTTCGAGAATTTGGAATAAAAGGGTTGGGAAATTTGAGAGATGTGTATGAGGTCAAGGGAATAGAATTAAACAATAAGAAGAACTTGCATGATTTGTATGTAAACTTTGAGGGGAGGATGAATGAGGAGCAAAATCAACAACTTCTTGAGGAGTTGCAACCACATCCAAATTTAGAGATATTAATATTACAAAATTACAGTGGCAACAATATTTCTCCTAATTGGATGATGTCATTGACCAAATTGAGAGAGTTAGATCTTTGGGATTGTGTAAACTGCGATCATCTGCCTCCTTTGGGTAAGTTATCATCTCTTGAAATTCTTTGGATAGATGGAATGAAGAGTGTGAAAAGAGTGGGTAATGAGTTTTTGGGAATAGAGAGTGATGCCACGTCATCATCTTCATCAATTATTGCGTTTCCCAAACTGAAATTTCTATGCTTCGGGGAGATGGAAGAATGGGAAGAGTGGAATTACGGGAGTACAAATAGAGGAGATGAAGATATTGCGGTCATGCCATCTCTTGAGACCTTGAAACTCAATCACTGCCTCAAATTGAAGTCTCTACCAAACCACATTCATCAGATGACAACGTTGAAGAAGGAAATAGTTGGATGTCCTTTCTTTAAAGAACAGAGAACCGATAGCTGGTCTTCATCTTCCTCTGATTAAGTTCTCTGAAATTATCAACTTCAACACTGATTTTCCTTCAAAACATGGGTAATTTCCTCTCTTTTCCCTTTTAATTATTTGTTTTGAATCAGAAATTAGTGGTTCTTATGTTCCCGAAAGAACTTGAGTGAATTGATAACTCATCATCATCTCCTCCAGTTTTGACCAACATCTCTCAGGTCTTAACTTCAACTTTGATTCTGCAAAAGGACATCCTTTGAATTCTCAAAATGCTACAATCGTGATCAATCCACAGGCAATTCCTCTCCTTACTGGTAAAACCTCTAGTTTTGACCAACATCTCTCAACTCCTAGATTCAATTTTTCTTACAAAAGAAGTGCTGAATATCCGGCACCATTGTAGATTTAAACAATTTTTATGTTTTGTTGTTAGATCTGAATTGGATTAGGTAAGCTGGCCATAGGAATTGTTATATAATCTTGAATCTGAACCATTTTATCAATTTTTTTTTGTCTATATTAGCATCACTTTCTACAAGAAAACCAAACTATTCCTCCATAGTACATCTTTAGTTTCTTTTAATCTGACTGTTGCAGGCTATAGATTAAATTAAGACAAAATAGCTATAAATGCAATCAACAAGCTATCAATGCATCTTAACCGTGAATTTCACATCTAGAGTTCTGGCTGCATTAAAGGACCTGTCGATGACTTCCTGACCATGTTTAGGTATTTCACATTTCAATTGTTTTTTTCATAGTCAGGGACAATCAATTTTGCTTTAAAAAAACCTATGCTTGAGATATTCAAAATCAGGTTTTCTGTTATTTATGTGAATTATGGTCATGATTTTACAGTCTTGTAGACCATGGAGTCCAAAAGCTTGAATGAGATAGGAGAATTGCAAGCAGGTAAGAAAAGTAGTTAAAGCAGTTAGTTGTTATTTGTAATTCACTAATAAAGAAATTTTTGAATGAAATTTCATGTTGCTCATTGGAAATAGAAACATATTTTAATCTTTTTGGATTCCATCATCTTCTTTCTAGTTTTTGACTGATTATATATATATATATATATTCAGCCTTTTGTGGATGCAACCAAGGTGTTATCCAATTAAGCATATCAGCCCAAAATTTCAGCCTAACTATCATCAACAGGGTTGCCTGTATGAAGAGTCCTATGAATGATTATTTGGCAGTATCCTTTTGCATAGGTACTTTGTTTTCAATGTTGTACTACATATTGATGAATAATGATCCTGAATCTTCCTTTTATGAGAAATCACTGTTATATATGACAATAAACTTGCTCTATAAGTTTTATTAGTTAGTGATATTCTTCTGTTTCAGGTAACGAATGAAGCTTTCAAATCCTTTGTTTGAAAGTGGAAATCCATTTCATGTCTGCATTTATGTATGCATATTTTAGATCATGTTTCCAAAGTATCAAAAACTGTGTTGCTTAAAATACAAGATATTATGATTCTTCTATCATGATAATTGTTAATCTCCTTCTAAAGTTTTGTCATGTTATCTCATGAACACAAGGTATCTTCTGAAGGAGATATATACAATATGGCAACAAGATGTGACAAGTCTCCATTTCTTCAGTTCTGAAGCAGCATGTACTACATAGACACGAACACGTGCCCAGTCAAATTGAATGTTTATTTTTCGGTGAGTTACTTTGGCAATGCCAACCCCTTTATTTTATCAACTTTTCATCACTCTGTTTACTGGGAACTTCTCAAACAGCATCTACTGCATAGACAGGAACTTAGTCTCGCAAAGATTTAAATCCAGAGAGTGGTGGTAAAGCATGCAGATAGATAGTCAAATGGGATGAAAGTTACAATTCATAGCAAGAGCAGTCTCCGATGGGCATAATGTATCCTGTCTCAAAACTCAACTAGCTGCTTGACGTTGAGCATTCTGTTATGCAACGGAAACATAAACTCTAACGCTAGCTTATTGAATATAATAATACAAGTAATAAAGCATAAATAAATTGCCAAAATTAAATGTAAAAATAAAGAATACCAGGAATTAACGAGGTTCGGTATTAAAACCTACGTCCTCGGGCGCTGCAAAAGAAAGCTCCACTATCTCCAAACAATATTACAAATATTTGGGCAATACAACAAATACCCAAAACAAAGGGGAGATACAACAAAACTTGCAAACTAAAGGGTCCTTAAAGAAAGAACCACTTGCAAAAGAAGAAGTAATGGAATTACAACTTGGGATAATTAATAACAATGATATGGGTCCTTATATATAGGCCCCAAAAATTTCCCACTTTTCAATTCTAATCAATGTGGGACAAACAACCTTTTCTTGGCCTATTACATATAAGTCCCTAAACCTTTCTCCATTATCATTTCTACCCCATGTGAATTTGCTAAAAAGCCATTTTTCAACACTTTCTGTATCTCTCTGTTTCTAAATCTGCTTCTCTGACACCATATCTTGAATGCAAACGGACAATAGTTGAGCATATAAGATGGAGAATCCAATATCAAAGGAAAGCGGTTACTCGTAGCAAGCATAAGTGCAATTAATGGCCTCGATGAAAGAAGGCACCTCCTTGTCATCTCTATCAGCATTCATTGATTGAATGGTGCGTATATATATATTTATATATCCTCAAAGCTATTTAAAGCAATTAGTTTCCCCTAATTTTCATGAATTGAAAACTTTATAACATGGTGGGTTGGGCTTTACTTCGTTCACCTCTATATGGAGGTGTGAAGTCCAATATATTAAACCCATAATGTATTTGAAACTAAAACCCAAACTTATTTTCATCCTCTTTTTCTTCATGTAGCGGCCAAAAACGAGAGGGAGACTGTGTTCTGCTCCAGCTGCTGCCCCTTCTATGCCAGCCACCATCCAGCTTCTTTCCATCACCATATATGCTTGAGAGAGAAGCAAAAACAAAGAGAAACAGAGAGGAAATATGAGTTTTTGAGTCTGTGAACAGTGCATTATCAAATCATGATTTGGATCTAGATTTCCGCCCAATCGTTCTGATTTTTGGATATGTTGTTCATGAGACACAACTCTACATTCTGAATGATGGAGATTGAATCCAAGCACTGTCAAGCAATACTTGTGGGTAAACCCGAATTGCGTTTTTGTGTCTTTTGGGATTATTCCTCTCCATAATTGTGATACATTGTTCCTGTTTTTGCTGAGGTTGTTTGGTGATGGATTTGTGAAGTTTTTGATGTTTGTACTCTAGTTTGCACTAGAAAGACTTTGTATTCCCATTTTTGATATATGAAAGACTTTAATGGACTACGGTCCCGGTTTTTACTCCTTAGATTCAGGGGGTTTTCCACGTAAATTTGGGTGTCCATTGATCTTTATTTTCGCATATATTTGTAGCTTTTGAATTATATTCACTCGAGAAAGAAATGAATTGTTGGAATGGATTCCTCTTTAGTTACGTGACAGTGAACTGGACATTGATTGAATTTCTTGCTTCTTTTTGGTTGATTAACACATTCGATCAAGAAATATTGATAGAGACCCATGAAGTATCTCATTGGAATTTTAAGTTGAATTGAGTTGAATTTTCCATTTTCAGATACTAGCTATAAAGCTCTTACAAATGGGTTTTTCATGGATTTTTCTCCTCAATTTTTAGAAATTCCTCATTCTTTTGATTCCATTTACTCCTTGAAACAGAGAAGAAACAGGGAGCTAAAAAAAAAAAAAAAAATCATTAATCTTCTAGAAATATCAAAGAAAATAGCTCTCATCCCAGCCAATATTAATAATGCCTATTTGAATGATGGTATTGATCATATTTTAATTTGATTGAATGAACAATTCCGCAACCATCATCATAACATTCTCCCCTGTTTATGACTCTCCCAGCAAGACCTTTTTCATAACATTCTCACCCTGTTTTTAACTTCAGCAGACCATTTTTATAGCAGTCTCACTTGTTTTTGACTCTCCTGAAAATGCAATATTTTTTGTTAGTGAGTTAGATTTTTTATTTTTGATATTGATTTTGGCTGCTGCTGCATGGCCATAAAATTCATTTTTATTTTCCATTATGTTAGAGCACACCACGCATCTCAATTTCTCAATCTCTGTTTGATCAATAGTCATCTTCAATATGCAAAAACACTTGTTCCTAGTCTTGGATCAACTTTTTGTTTTTCAATAGTCGTGTGCTTCAACGTGTAACTCTGCATTTTGGTCAAAATAAGAAACCACAGTTTTTTCTACTAGCGGTTCTCAGTCTGGTGATTTGAGTGTGAAGTGTGTCGTTCATTTTAAAGTTCATCCAACTCTCTTCTTGAAAAAACTGGCTGCTTATGGAAAAACATTCTAGGATCTGGTGTTACCACCCTTGGGACAATGCTGAAAATGGAATGGGGTATATGTTCCCATCACTTTCTTTGTTTCATTTCATCTCCCAGTTGAAGCCAATAATCTCTCCAACTCTGCTACTTATCTTAGTCAACAGTTTTTTCAAATATTATATCGTAACTTTATTAGAGAATGATTTTCTAATAACTTTGTTAGAAGATTGTATCCTTCTACACTTTGATTTAATATAGTAGCTTGTTGAAAGTTTAATTCTTAAAATGAATTGGGTTATTTTAACTATTCTTGTATCATTATGAATAGCTTGTAGATTGAAGAGACTTCCAATTACAATAAATATGGTCGAAAAGAATGAAGGAATTGCTTGGACAACACTTAATACTTTAACTATTATCAACGCATACTTTGGTTTGGATTTATTCCTAGGTCTTTTCCATTTGGTGGTACACAGAGCTCAGGCGTTGAAGAGATTGTGCATCAAGTTCCCTCCGACACCCAAAAGCCTCTGGTCTGTTTCTCTATTCTTGTTTCACTTCAATTTGATTTTTTTTTTTTTTTTTAATTTTAATAAAATTGTGTATTTGGTGTATTACAATTCTACAAATCCAGAATAAATTCAGTGCTTCATCGAAATATATAATTATAGATCTTGCTTACTAGTGTAGAGGAGGTATTTACTTGTAAATTTATGAAATCAAATTTTGTAGTTAATGATTATCAGCTGCATCATGATTCTGGTATTTGTAAATTATTGTTTATGGTTCTTTTGGAAATGTTGTAATGTTTTTCGCACAATTTAATTACTTTCCAATTTTGCAAATGCAACTCAGTCTCACAGCACTCTTCATCTGTGCCATTAGGATCAAGAGATCTCATCTTGCCCCCTTTGAAAGGGTTGCGTTTCATGGTTACTCTTTGGTAAATTTGGATATATACATAAGTGTGTATAAATTTAAGGCTGTTGAGCGTATTTATGAATCCATCAATGTTGGTCTTAGAGCTGTTGATTTATGCCTTCTTTCAAAAGCAAGTCTGTCTTTTCATTGTTTTGGAGAGCATTTGTATTTGAACTGAAACCTACGAGGGAGATAGCATTTTTTATGTTACTTCTACTAGCAAGTTTCCTTTTTTGTGGGTAATTTTGACCTTCACTCATAACTTCAAGTTCTTCTCAAATTGTGCAGCCATATGCTCGCAGGCACTTTTTGTTTCCTCCCTGAGTATTGAAGAATATAATGATCGTGTAATGGCAGTATTATGCTGTGAAGCACAAGTATGATTTTAATTTTATGTTTTATCATTGTGTTGCATGAGGATGTTTGGCTTTATAAGTTATGCTTCCTGTTGAAATGTAAAATAGGAATAAAATTATCTCTTTGTAATATAGGAAATAGAATTATAATAGGAATAGGAAATAGAATTATAATAGGAATGTAACATTACTTCCTAGATTAGTTTTTGTTTTTTTGCTATAAATTCATTGTACATCTCATTATGAATACAAGAAAATATTCTCCCATGGATTAGGCCAAGTGTCTGAAATTTCAAATTTTTTCTTCTCTCTTTCTCGGAATTTTTTTTCCGGCGACTGTTCTCCGCAACGATCAGATCTGGTCTAGTCACACTAGATTGATCGTCTTCCCATCGTCGTCATAACCTGAGGATTTCGTCGCCGGCCGCCGCTGCACGCGCCGCTCGTTTTTCGGCAAGTGTTCTGTTTTTCCAGGAGTATTCTTGTTTCCGTGCACGTAAGTTTTGGCTTTTCTGTCCACTTCAAGACACTCTGACCTTCTCATGGATTCCTCAAAATCAGCCTCTCAGTCACATACAAGTGGTTTTTCTTTTTTATCTCTCCCTCCCATCACCACTGAGCGCCTACCCGAGCTGCTAATATTGCTCAGGCTGATCACTCTGATCTTCATTCTGGTCCTCTCCAGTGCCATCTCAGCCCTCCTTAACTCTCACATGTACGATTATGATGAATACTTACAGTATCAGGCCAGTAAGCAATCTTCTTCATCTATTGCCTCCGTCCTCAAACGGTAATTCAATTGCTTGCCTTTCTCAGTCTTCCGCTTAGGCCCTTGGTCTAGATTCAGGTGCCTCGATCATATTTTTGGTAACCTCGTTTACTTACTCAGATTATAATAATGTATCTTTACCTCCTGTTACTTTAGCCAATGGGTCTAAGCTGATGTCAAGCTATTGATGTGCAAAACCCCTCCCCTCCTAGCATTAGACTCTGTGCTTTATATCCCAAATGTCCATTTAATCTCGTGCTGTTAGTAAACTTACCAGCTCCTTAAATTGCTCTATTTGTTTTGATACTGATCTGTTGTTATACAGTCGCGACACGGACGGATGATTGGCACAGGACATGATCACAGGGTCTTTATCATCTCCATATCCCATCACACATGCATTGTCTCCGAGTCTCCAAATCTCCTTCATATCGTTTGGGCCATCCTAGTCTTTCCAAACTTCGAAAAATGATCCCAGTCTATCTACTTATCACCTTGAGTTGTGAGTCGTGTCACTTGGAAAGCATACTCGAGTTCTTTCTCCAAAGCGTGTCATAAAACGGGCTGCGTCCCCCTTTGATTTAGTGCATTCAGATGTGTGGGGTCCTTGTCGTTTTCTCTACTTTGGGATTTAAATATTTTGTTACATTTATTGATGACATTCTCGTTGCACTTGGTTATTTCTTATGCGCTCTCGTTCTGAATTTTTCCATATTTTCATCATTTTGTGCTGAAATTAAGACTCAACACAATACTACCATTCGTATATTACGAATGATAGCTCGTGAATATTTCTCTGATCCCTTTACTAAATCATGACCTCAGGGAATTCTCATCAGTCTCTTGTGCTTATAGTCCCCAACAGAATGGCATTGCTGAGCGTAAAAAAGACACCTCATTGAAACTGCTCGCACTCTTCTTTTACATAGCCACGTCCCTTTCCGGTTTTGGGCTGACGCGGTTCTAACCGCCTGTTACTTAATAATCGCATGCCTTCTTCTGTCTTACAAGATCAGGTCCCCCACTCCATATATTCCCTGATACTCCATTATTTTCTCTTCCCCCCGTTTCTTTGGGAGCACCTGTTTTGTTCACATTTTCCCTCCTGGTCAGATAAACTGTCAGCCAAGTCTACGAAATTATTTTCTTAGGGTATTCACGTCTTCAGAAGGGCTACAAGTGTTATTCTCCCGCCACATCGCTACTTCACTCTGCTGATGTTACGTTCTTTGAGTCTTCTCCATTTTTTTCTCATCCTCTAGTGGAGTCTGATCCGTAGTGGATGTTCTACTAATTCCATACATTGCTTTCCCACATTCGTCTGTTTCAATACCTCAGTCTACTACTAATACCACTCTTCCTGTCGACATAGTCTTGTTCCTTTTACAGGTGATCCTGATGTTCCCGCTGCCGTTCCTGAGATCCCTGTTACTGCAGGTCCTGTGCCCGATTCCTCCAATGCCACGGTCTTGTCTCCAGTGATCAGTTTCCCATTGCTATTCGTAAAGGTATGCGGTCTACACGCAACCCTCACCCATCTACAATTTTTTGAGTTATCATCGTTTATATCCTTCATATTATGCCTTTGTCTCCACCCTTCTTTCTGTTTCTTTTTCCTAGCAATGTTCATGAGGCACTTTCTCACCTCGGGTGGCGTCAGGCATGGTTGAAGAAATGTCTGCTTTGCATCATAATCATACTTGGGAGTTAGTTTCCTTATCTCCGGCCATTCGACTGTGTGTTGTCGATGGATTTACACTGTCAAGGTTGGTCCAGATGGTAAGGTTGATCGCTGAAAGCCCGTTTGGTGGCCAAGGGTACACTCAGATCTATGGGACAGATTATTTTGACACTTTTTCTCCTTTGCAAGATGTCTTCCGTCCTTTGTTCTTTGCTATGGCTGCCATTCGGAACTGGCCTATCATCAATTGGATATTAAAATGCTTTTCTTCATGGTGAACTTCAGGAAGATATTTATATGGGCAACCTCTGGTTTTGTTGCTCAGGGGAGTCTGGTTGGTATGTAAACTTCGTCTTCTCTATATGGTCTAAAACAGTCCCTCGTGCTTGGTTTGGACGATTTAGCACAGTTATCCAAGAGTTTGTATGATTCGATGTGATGATCACTCTGTTTTCTTAAGACATACATCTCAGGCAGGTATATCTATCTGGTTGTCTATGTCGATGATATTGTTATTACAGGAAGTGATCAAGATGGCATTGAACAGTTGAAGCAACACTTGTTCAACACTTTCAGACGAAGACTTAGAGCTACTCAGATACTTTCTTGGCATAGAGTCGCTCAGCAATCTGGTATTGTTATTTCTCAGAGGAAGTATGTACTGGTATTCTAGAGGAAACAGGATGTCAGATTGCAGACCATAGACTCTCCTATGGATCCTAATTTAAAACTTTCACCTGGACAGGGGGAGACTCTCACGATCCGGGAAGGTATCGAAGACTTGTTGGAAAACTTAACTATCTTACTATCACACGACCGGATATTTCCTTTTCTGTCAGTGTTGTGAGTCAGTTTCTTCAAACTCCGTGTGATAGTCATTGGGATGCAGTTGTCCGGATTTTGAGGTATATCAGAGGACCACCAGTAAAGGCTTACTGTATGAAAATAAGGGCCATTCGCATATTGTCGGATATTCAGATGCTGATTGGGCAGGTTCTCCATCTGATAGACGTTCTACCTCAGGATTTTGTGTTCTTGTTGGAGGAAACCTAGTTTCATGGAAAAGTAAAAAACAAGCAGTTGTTGCAAGGTCAAGTGCTAAGCAGAGTATCGTGCAATGGCCTTAGCCACTTGTGAGCTGGTTGGGTTAAACAAATTCAGAGTTGGATTTGTCGAAGTATCACAAATAAGTTACTCTGTGATAATCGCTGCCCTTCATATTGCTTCAAATCCAGTGTTTCATGAGGGACTAAACACATGAAATTGATTGTCACTTTGTTCGAGAGAAGTTCATCAGGGTGTATTGCTACTAGTTATGTCAGTTCCAACGACCAGTTAGCAGACATCCTCCTATCTCTCAAAGGTTCTCGTGTTGACTTTATTTGTACAAGCTTGGTGCATACGACTTATATGCTCCAGCTTGAGGGGAGTGTTGAAATGTAAAATAGGAAATAGAATTATTCTCTTTGTAATATAGAAATAGAATTAAATAGGAATAGGAAATAGAATTATAATAGGAATGTAACAATTTACTTCCTAGATTAGTTTTTTGTTTTTGCTATAAATTCATTGTACATCTCATTATAAATACAAGAAAATATTTCTCCACACTCCTATAGTTATATTTTTGTGATTTTGCTTTTTATTGGTTTAGTTGTATATTCTTCTGTACCAACTGTCCGTCCCTAGAGTTACAATGTTTATTATCAAATTGAGTTAGTATGTAGCTCATAGCATTCTTATAATAGTTTCTGCCTGTTATTTGTTGTCTGGATTCACAAAATTGTGAAAAGAACATGACTAAAGAAATTTGTTAAATGAGAGAAATCTGTAAAACTCTCAATTTGAGTCCACTTTTTTTTCTTTTTTCCCTAAATGTATGTTACTTTCTGCTGCTATTGCATCTCTTTTAATGTGAGATTATTCTTTCAGAACTCTGTTTAAACTGCTGCTGGAATTACACTGTATTCATATTTTCGAGTTGGCTTTGACTCATGGTAGTTGATATTCTTTACCAGGGATGTTCTTTGCTGGGAAAGAATATCATCTCTGGTAAAACATGGACAAAAAACGAGCTGGTACAGCAGTTTACAATAGAGCATCTTCGCTAGAAACGCTTGTCAGTACCCTCGTACCTTGTTTTTTTCTTGAAAGTATTTATTACATCTAAGAATGCATTGTTTCCACTCTGGGTTCCTGTTATTGTATGCCCTATCTGGTTCTCGTACACAGGTTGTTATCTGTGCCTGACAAATGCAAACGATTGGAAGAAGTCATGGGAAAGCTGGGATTCTCAACTGGTTCTTCTACACAACCGATTTTAGAGGAACATGTAGCAATTAATTGCTGAGTCATGCTTTTTGTGGCATCTAAGTCGAATATGCAACAGTTCAGAGGATTGCATGATCGCGACAAGTGAATAGTAGGTAGCGTGTAAGATGCCATAGTTAAGTCATGCATGAAAATTTCTGAGAAGTTGTGTGATATTGTGCACCGGAGATGGAAGGGAAGCTGGGATTTTAAGTGTTGTTCACTCGAACTTCATGGTTATTTAGTTTTAGGGCATTGGATGCCCTTGTAATTTTGGCATTGTATGATTTTGGATATCATCAAAATAATACCATTTGATTGTTATTCAAAGAAACTCTGCAAAAGCAAATTATCTTTACCAGTGCTTCAAGACTGAATTTAATATTTAATATGCAATATTCTGTTTGAAACAACCTTGTTTTCATACGGTAATTCATCAAGGCCATACATTTTCTGTTTGATTGCTTTTGCTTTTCAAGATTCACACAATCCACCGTTCTCAAAATTGAAAAAAAGTTATTTCCATCTCAAGTTATAGTAAAGTTAAAAGTGTAAGGGAAGCCTAATTTTCTTTTAGTAAACATCTCCCAACAATAATCTGTCAAATTCTTTCCTTGATATACCTTCTACACTTTGCATCACATTCTTTTCTTTCTTCAAAGAGTGGCTTGTTGAAAGTTTAATCCTTAAAATTAAGGGACTATTTGAACTATTCTTTTGTTTTATGATAGCTTGTACATTGAAGAGACTTCCTATCACTAACCTCTTTACTCAAGACTCTTAATTTATAATTCTAAGCATTTTTATAATATATATACCACTTCAGCAAAACTAATTGTACAGTTTGAGGAAATAAGTAAATAAAATAGTTAAAGAAAAGAATGAGGAATTGCTTGATCAACAGTTATACCTTAACTAGTATCAAAGCATACTTTGGTTAATTTGGATTTATTCCTTGGTCTTTTCCATGCACTATAATGTTGAATGGAAGTTGCAGCATTATCACAACATAAGCAAACCAAATATTTCGATTTCTAATCAATCTTTGTTTAATCACTTACCTCATTCAATATGGCTGAAGCTCTTGTTTCCAGCCTGGAACAGCTGGCTTCATTCTTAATCAACACGAGAGGAGGGATAACTTGATTGTGGGTGCTAAGCAAGAAATTGCAAAGCTTCAACAACTTCCGTCCATTCAAGCCTGCTTCTGATGCTGAGAATCGACAGGTGAAGAGAATGCTGTGAGAATATGGTTAGAGAAGCTCAAAGATGTGTCCTATGACTAGATGATGTCTTGGACGGTGGACACGAAGTTCTGAAATTACAAATTAAAAGAGCTAAAATGCTTTTACTAGCCTTTGAAAAAGGTATAGTTCTCTCATTCTCTTTTATTCAGTTGTAAGCCATTGGTTATGCGTTGCGAAATTGCTGTCAATATAAAAGATCTCAAGAAAACTAGATATATTGTTATGGAGAGAGAGAGGTTTCAGTTTAGAACAATCGTCGAGGTAGCAAAGAAGAAGAACGACCAATGCAAACCTCTTATTGATTTAAATGAGGTTCATGGAAGAGATAATGATAAGAATTCACTACTCGATTTGCTCTTGAGTCAATAGTCAAAACAAAGTCCTCCCCATATCTCTTATATAGGATGGGGAGAATCGGCAAGACAACTCTTGCTCGATTAGTTTTTTAGATGATAAGGTGAACACCCATTTTGATAAAAAAATATGGTTGTGTTTTCTGAGCCTTTTGAGCTTAGGATTGCAAAACTAGTCCTTGAACTCTCCACAAATAGTCCATCTCAATTAGTTGGATTAGAACTGTAATGCAAAACATAGGTCAACAAATTGAAGGAAAGAAGTTTCTTCTTGTTTTAGATGATGTATGGACTGAAAATCGTAGAATTGGGAAAATTTAAAACATACTCTCATGTGTGGATCTTTAGAAAGTAGAGTTTAGTCCCACGTAAGGAAATGCTCAAATGTCATTGGACCACCAACAAAATCTCATTAGGAATACTATCAGAGGATAATGTTGGTCTTTGTTTAGTCAACTTGCACTTTTTAAAACAACCACTAGAGTTTAAGAAATTGGTAGAAAATGTTAAAAAGTGTAAGGTTTGCCCTTTGCTGTAAAGACTTTAGGTAGTCTTTTGCGTTTTAAAGGGAATTTGGAGAATGGGAAAATGTCTTAGAGAGTGAAATTGGGAATTAAAGAGGTAGAACAAGAGGTTTTTCGGCCTCTACTATTAAGTTTTATGACTTATCCCTACTTCAAAAAATGTTTCTCATATTGGCTATGTTTCCAAAGGATTATGAGATAGACAGGGAACAACATTATTAAGTGGATGGCACAAGGTTATTTAAAGTCAAAAGACTCAAAAAGATATAGAGTTAGTTGGGAAGAGTATTTGAAACATTAGCAATGCGTTCTTTCTTTCAAGATTTTCAAAAAGATGATGATGATATTGATACGTTCTTGTAAGATGCATGATATAGTACATGATTTTGCTCAATTTCTTACCCAAAATGAAGTTATACAATAGAGGTTGATGGTAGAGGAGAAATTGAATAGAACCTTCTATGATAAAGTTAGACATTTAATGATAAGTCAAGGAGAGACCCCATTTCGTAGCTCTATTTGTACTAGAAATACTTTTTTACGTAGCCTTGTGGTTTATGTAATTACGGGACTGACCTTGAGATAGTTTTGTCCAAATTAGTTGTCATTTACATGTCAAGGTCATTTTCTTTGAAATGCTACTCAATTAAGAAATTCCTGTAGAAATAAAAAAATTAATAACATTGAGGTACCTTGACTTGTCTTTAATAGAAAACTAAAAGAATGCCTGAGACATTGTGTGAGTTTATAATATACAAACCTTGGACATGGGATGTGAAAATATCAAAAAACTATCTCAAAGGATTGGAAACTTAATCAACTTGAGACATTTGTTAAATTGGGGGACTGATAGTATAAGTTACATGCCAAAAGTTTGGAGAGATTAACTGTCTTCGAACATTAGAAATTTTTGTTATAAGTGAGCAATTAGTATAGTAAGAATGTTGTGTTGAATGTCTAAAAACTCAAACATCTTCGAAATTTGGAATAAAAGGTTGGGAAATTTGAGAGATGTGGATGGGTTAAGGGCATAGATTAAACAATGAAAAACTTGCGTGAGTTGTGGGTAGACTTTGAGGGGAGGATGATGAGGAGCAAAATCAACAACTTATTGAGAGTTGCAACCACATTCAAATTTAGAGATATTAAGTCTTGTAAATTACAGTGGCAAAACTATTTCCCTATTGGATGATGTCATTGACCAAATTGAGAAACTTAACTCTTTAGATTGGGTAAACTGTGACATGTGCCTCCTTGGGTAAGTTCACTCTTGAAATTCTCTGGATATTGGGAACGAAGGTGTGAAAAGAGTGGGATGAGTTTTTGGGAATAGAGAGTGATACCATGTCATCATCTTCTCATATTGTGTGTTTCCCAAACTGAAATTTCTAGGCTTTAGTGAGATGGAAATGGGAAGAGTGGAATTACGAGAGTACAAAGAGAGATGAAGATATTCTAGTCATGCCATCTCTTCAGGCCCTGAACTGACTTCTGCCCCAAATTGAAGTCTCTACCAAGCCACCTTCATCAGTGACAACGTTGAAGAAGGACATACGTTTTTGTCCTCTTCTCGAAAGAAATTAGCAGAGAACCGGTTGCTTTCGTCACTCCCTCTGATACTGATTAAGTTCTCTGAAAATATCAACTTCAACACCGATCTTCCTTCAACCCACGGGTAATTTCCTCTCTTTTCCCTTTTAATTTATTTTTTTTGAATCAGAATAGTTGTGTTTAGTCTCGAAAGAACTTGAGTGAATTGATAGCTCATCTCATCTCCTCCAGTTTTGACCAACACCTCCTACGCTGAACTTCAACTTTGATACTGCAAAGGGACGACCTTTGAATTCACAAATGCTACAATCGTTTCAATCCATAGGTAATTTCTCTCCTTAAAGGTAAAACATCTAGTTTTGAGCACACTCTCTCAAGTCTTAGCTTCAATTTTTTCTGAAGTGGACGGTCAATTATCTCCTCCATTTGTTGGTTATTATCAAACCAAATTATTGCTCTCACCAAGTGAAAGATCCTTCGGTCTTTCTGTGACGATAAACATGATGAATTACCACAAAATAAACATTGTTCCATTTTAAAATCCCTTGCACTTATATGGAATTTTTAACTTCATAATCTGGTCTCACTCCTATTTCAAGAGAATTTGGTCATTATTACTTCATTTTCAGTAATGTACTTGTGTTGTTATTTAAAGTGATATCATGCTAAAGTTTTTTTTTTTTTTTCTTCTTGTTTTCAAGCTGCAGCAACCGGGAAATCCTGCTTGGAGACATCTTGTGAAAGAAGTACTTCTAATATCTGGCACCATTGCGGATTAAGCAATTGTTAGTTTTTGTTGTTAGATCGGAATTGGACTAGGTAATTTGGCTATAGAATTCTTATAAATCTTGATTCTGGACCATTTTATCGTCTATTTTTTGTCTATATTAGCATCACTTTCTATCAGAAAACCAAACCATTTCTCCATAGCCATCCTAGTTTCTTTTCATTTTATTTTATTTTTTAAATTTATTCGAAATTAATTCTCCTGACTTGTACAGTAATCTTGAAATGTATAGTTAGTTTGCATTCAACATGTTCTATTTCTTTCTCTGAGTTTTGCTTGGTATGTAAATGTAGTTGTGCTCTCTTTTTTAATTTTATTATTTTTTAATTGAATCTGGAAAATGAAATATTCTTAGAAAAATCAATTGGAAGTCTATAGTTTGCATATGGTGATCAAAGCATGAGTAAACTGAGTCAAATCATGATACAAATAAGAAATAAGACATTAGCAACTATGTTACTGGGATGGCAGCAAAACTGCTGAACATGTTTTTTGTATCATTGAATCTCAATCATTAGATATTTTGTGACAAGTTGATACTCAATGTTACAGTCACAAGTGTCGGAGTTCCCTTTAAATTGTGGCTCGTAGGCCTTAAAATGGCAACACAGCTGTTCTCTTAGTGGATTAGTGGATGGTTCTAGGTATGAATACTTCATAGCTTATATATTCTTATCATGATTATTAAAATTAAGCTGGTCTTTTGAATGTTTTCATTTTATGCTAATGTAGTTATTTTGTGCTAGTTGCATTCATGTTGTACAAGTGGTATGCATTCACAACTATTACCCATATTATGTATCTGTAGTTTCAGTGTTAACATTTATAATTATATGTGTATTGGTTGACAGTTTGCCTTTGTGAGTTCTTTGTCATGACAGATAAGAACAATGATAGTGAGCAATGCTTCATTAGGTGCATCTAAGCAAGATATAAAGGAGTTCTTTTCCTTTACTGGGGAAATTTAACATGTTAGATGCACAGGTTTGTTATATTGAATCTGAGTTTTATTATCGTCCTTTATCTTTTATTATTTTTTGTGGTTGCTTGGAAAAGAGAAAATGTGAATTTGAATGATTAATCTTTCTGAGGATATTTGGATTAATTATTGGAGAAAGAATACTAAGGTTCCCATATAATCTTATATTATTTTTTCTTTCAGTGCAATGAGCGGTCTCAAATTGCATTTGTTGTCTTCAAGGATCCCAAGGGGGCAGAGACAGCGGTTCTTCTTTGGTGCATTATCATCTTATCTGTTAGTTCTTCTTTCATTAACTTCCCCTGCCTTAGTATAAATTTCTAACTTCATAATCTGGTCTTACATCTAATTTTCAAGAGAATTTGATCTTATTACTTCATTTTCATTAATGTGACTTATGTTGTTCTTTTAAATTGATATCATGCTAAAGTTTGTTTGTTTGTTTTGTTTGTTTTTGTTTTTTCTCAAGCTGCAGCAACCAGGAAATCTTGCCTTGGAGACATCTTGTGAAGAAGTGCTGAATATCGGGCACCATTGCAGTTTGAAGCAATTGTTATGTTTTGTTGTTGGATCTGAATTGGACTAGGTAATCTGGCCATAAGAATTCTTATATAATCTTGAATCTGGACCATTTTATTATCTCTTTTTTGTCTATATTAGCATCACTTTGTACCAGAAAACCAAACCATTTCTCCGTAGCACATCCTAGTTTCTTTTCATCTGTCAGTGCAACGATTTTCTCTTCAGCTTCTTATTGTGGAATGTAACTCGACAGTTTTTGCATTTTATTATAAGCATTTTTATAATATTCTATCAGCACATTACATGGGCTTTTTGCTTGATTATGCATGTCAGCTCATGGTTTTTGATACCGAACCTAACTACAGCCGGAATGGTGACATTCTGATTCAACCAAAAATGGCTTTTCTCCAAGCAGTTAACATGCACAAACCTATACATGAGTTCAGAAATTGCTGTTAGAGATTTGGAATAATTTAAAAACATGCTACGAACTAGTAGCACTAGATTGAATAAGTCCAAGTAGCATTCTTCTTTCATTAAATCAATCTTCGTTTGCTCAAAAAGTTTTCCAAATTTTTGTCCATACAACTACCTTGAAACCAAAACTGAGTTCCATTAACAGCATATTACATTTCTTTTATCGTGATGTCATCATTCCTTTCATTATTATCCTTTGGAAATTATCTCATGCTATGTTCTGTTTTTGGATCTCATGCAAGCAGGTGTGACGAAGCTCCATTAACTCTCTATGCATGGTTTTCTTAAGGGTGATGTGTAAGTAATTGGGCTAATGGTACTTTCTATAACCGGCATTTAAATCTTTGTACATTTTTGTTATTCTTCCTACATATCACAATTAAATGTTAGAGGAGTAGTTAATTGATTTGTTGACTGATTTAGCTGTTTGTGACATGAAAGACAAAATAGAACAAGTGATTAGATGGTGTCACTTATTGCTGACATTTCTGTAGAGTATGATAACCATATCCTTCTTTCCCAGTAAGCAGAATTCTTTTATGTTGATGATGGTTTGTTCCAGATATCTTTTTTTTATTAAGTTATCGGAAGGTTTTTTTCCTATTATTGAATCTTTTTTGATATCTCACACTTGATGCAGTAAAGCAAGTTCAACATATAATGATTTTATTCAAGAATCAATGTTAAGCAATAGTGTACCACTCAAGCTTGGTAGCATTAGCTCTCTTTTTCTTTTGTCGACTGAACGGCATCTGTCCAACATGTACTTTCTTCGTCATTTGTTTCTGGTTTAGCTGTCATTTGTAATCTAAGCAACAATATTTAATCTGGAAAACAGAAAATGTTTGTTCTGAAGACTTATCCAGTCACTTTTTGGTTGTCATCTATAAAATTAAATCATGGTGACAGGATGCTCTTGAAAATTAACTATTCAATTTGACCTCATTGATGTTGTATGTCATCAAGAAGTTTGATGTATATTGAAGATAAGATAACAATTACATTTTAAAGAGAAAACAATGCATCTCAGCATTAATTCGTGGTGATTAATATTTGCTGAAGAGGGATCATTAACTTCCAGATATTGCTTAAATGGTGTCATGAAACCAAGAAGTGGTTGAATATTTGCTCAAATTTGGCAAATTCTTCATTAAAGACATGTTGGTTTTTCCTCTTTATAAGCTTATGCAAGTGCCTGCTTACTTTATTTGGAGAAATGCATAGTCTCTATAGGTGTTCACTGGCTATGCTTTACCATATGTTTAGGTGTTGGTTCTGTAACTGTGGCTAAGCCTTCCTCTTTCTCTGATTGCTGCATGCTATAGATTAAATTAACACAGCCTAGTCCAAATTTGTTGAAATCATTAGTCCTTGTATTTCTTAGGCAACTATAAATGCAATCAACAAGTTATCAATGCATCTTAACCCTGAATTTCACTTTGGAGTTCTGACTGCATTAAAGGACTTGTCGATGACTTCCTGACCATGTGTAGGTATTTCACCTTTCAATTGTTTTTGTCATAGTCAGCGACACTTAATTTCGCATTAAGAATACCTATGCTTTAGAGATTCATACGTATTCTGTTATTTATGTGAATTGTGGTCACGATGTTATAGTCTAGTAGACCATGGAGTCCAAAAGCATGAATGAGATGGGAGAATTGCAAGCAGGTAAGAGAAGTAGTTAAAGCAGTTAGTTGTTATTTTAATTCACTAGTAGAGAAATTTTTGAATGAAATTTCATGTTCCTCTTTGGAAGTAGTAACATATTTTAATCTTTTTGGATTCTATCATCTTCTTTCTAGTTTTTCACTGATTATATATGTTCAGCCTTTTGTGGATGCAACTAAGGTGTTATCCAATTAAGCATCTGAGCCCAGAATTTCAGCCTCTCTATCATCAACAAGGGTTGCCTGTATGAAGAGTTCTATGAATGATTATTTGACAGAATCCTTTTGCATAGGTACTTCGTTTTCAATGTTGTACTACATATTGATGAATAATGATCTTGAACCTTCACTGTTATATATGACAATAAACTAGCTCTATAAGTTTTATTAGTTAGTCATATTCTTCTATTTCCTGTAAAGAATGAAGCTTTCAAGTCCTTTTTTAAGTAGAAATCCATTTCGTGTCTGCATTTCTGTAGACATATTTCAGATCATGTTTCCAAAGTAGCAAAAACTGTTTTGCTTAAAATCCAAGAATAAATTATTCTTCCGTCATGATAATTATTAATCTTCTTCTAAAGTTATGTCATGTTATCTCATGAACACAAGGTATCTTCTGAAGGAGATATATACCATATGACAAGAAGATGTGACAAGTCTCCATTTCTTCAGTTTTGAAGCAGCATGTACTACATAGACACGAACATGTGCCCATTCAAATCGAATGTTTATTTTCGGTGAGTTACTTTAGCAGTCAAATTTTCATCACTCTGTTTATTGGGAACTTCTCAAACAGCATCTACTACATAGACAGGAACCTGGTCTTGCAATGATTTAAATCTAGAGAGAGGTGGTAAAGCATGCAGATGGATATCATCAAATCGTGATATGGAGCTTGTTAGCCGTCCAATGGTTCTGACTTTTGGATGTGGTGTTCATGAGAAACAACTCTACAACCTGAACGGTGGAGATTGAAATCCAAGCACTGTAAGGCAGTAATTGTAGGTAAACCCGAAACTGCAGTTTCTTTGTGTTTTGGGATTATTCTCTCCATAAATTGTGATATTTTGTTCCTGTTTTTGCTGAGATTGTTGGTGTTGGAATTGTGAAGTTTATGATGTTTGTATGCCTCTAGTTTGCACTAGAGAAGACTTTGTATTCCCATTTTTGGTGATAGTGAAAGACTTTAATCGGACTATGGTCCCGTGGTTTTTACTCCTCACATCAAGGAGGTTTTCCACGTAAAAATTTGGGTGTCATTGATCTTTAATTTTTTGCATATATTTGTAGCTTTTGATTATATTCACTCGAGAAAGAAAAGGATTGTTGGAAGCCAGGTTCCTTTTTAGTTATGCAACAATAAACTGGATGTTGAATTGAAATTTCTTGCTTCTTTTGGGTTGATTAACACATTGGACAAAGAAAGATTGACAAACACCAATGAATTAATTTCATTGGAATTTTAAGTTCAATTGAAGTTGAAACTTTCCGTTGTTTTGATACTAGCTATAAAGCTCACCAGCAATCTGTAGACCATTCAAGCTGTTTGAGAGCAGACAAGTGAAGGAGGAGTGTGGGAAATTGTATCAAAGAAAATTAATGCTCTTATCTCAGCCAAATATTAATAATGCTAGATTTGAATGATGACTATTGATCAGATATTTAAATTTGATTGAATGAATAATTCCGCAACCATCTTCATAACATTCTCCTCTGTTTATGACTCTCCCACCAAGAGCATTTTCATAACATTCTCACTCTGTTTTTTACTTCAGCAAGACCATTTTTATAGCATTCTCACTCTGTTTTTTACTCTCCCGGAAAATGCATTTTATGTTAGTGAGTTAAGATTTCTGATATCCATTTTGGCAGTTGCTTGGCATGGTCATAAAATGCATTTTTATATGGCATTTATGTTAGGAGTGCACCACGCATCTCAATTTCTCAATCTCTGTTTGATCAATTGTCATCATTCAAATATGGTTAGGTGAAAACTGTAAAAGAAAGAAAGAAGTGAAAACTTACTCTTTGAGTAAGTATCTCCCAACATAAATCAGTCAAAGTATTGCCTTTAATTGGCCTTCTACACTTTGCATCCGACGCTTTCTTTGCCTTCATAATGGATACATACGCAATTATGCTCTCTGCAGGAAGGAACCATCTCATTCAAATTTAATTTTGGAAGATTGTATTAGAAAATTTAATTTTCAAGAATGAGAGATTGGTAGTGTAAAGATATGATATTTGGTATTCAAATTTGTCCTTATTAAAACATGAAGGCTTATTCATTTTGGTGTCGCATTCTAAATGAGTTGGTTAAATTGATTTTAAATTATATTGTGTCACATCAATTAGTGGGAGTAGCAAATGAATGCTATGTTCTCATCTCATATGATGTGTTTCATATGTGGTACTAAACACATGTAATTAAAAACCAATACGGGGTAATGTTATGTAAAATGAATGACATTTCTCTTATTCGTTTTTGTATGTATTTTTTAGTCATATTCAGCCGCTTTTAACCCAACAATTTGGGTTTGGGCCCAAAGCCCATTTAAACTTACTAATATCCTCTTGTATTGAATTATGTTTTGAGTTGATAAGGAATCATAATATATATGGTCAATTTCTTGCTTACTCCTCTATTACATGAATGATTTATTCATTATAGGCAATGCTGAAACTTGATAGGGACCATTGTTAATGCTTATATGATTATATTATAACCAGTAAGTTTCAAACCAGAATAATACATTTTACTAAGATCTTAGCAACAAATTTTAACTATTTTAACCATAAAAGAGAATATGTAAAACAATATTTTAAGTCTAAAATTTAATATTTAACTAGTTTGCAAGCTTAATAATGCAATATTCTGTTTAAAAAAACCTTGTTTTCATACAATAACGTCAAGGCCATATATTTTCTATCTTAGAACATAGGAAAAAACATGAGATTCTGCAGTGCTTTTGCTTTTCAAGGTTCACATAATCTGTCATTCTCAAAATTGAGAAAAAGTTACTTTCAAGTTATAGTAAAGCTGATTATTCTTCAAATTAACATCTTCTCTCGACAATAATCTACACTTTGCATCACATTCTTTATTTCTTCACTTTGCATCACAATCTTTCTTTCTTCATGCATCACATTCTTTCTTTGGTTATGTTGAATTTGAGGTTGGTTCTAGAGTTGTATTCAAGTTAGATTGTATTTGAGAATATTTAAATAAAACTGATAAGAATTTTCTTTTGTGATTATTTTCTAGTATTGTTCTGAAATTGATAAACATAAAATTTTCTAGAACGAAGAAGTCCTTCTACTTCAAGAAAACAAAACTTAAATCCTTTGAGACGATAATTTGTATTACACCTTTCAAATAATATCCACATATTCTCATCTCATATAATGTGTTTTCGTATGTGGTACTAAATATGTAATTAAAAACCGATAAGGGATAATGCTATGCAAAATGAATGATATTTCTCTTATTCGTTTTTGTGCATATTTATTAGCCACATTCAGCCACTCTTAACCTAACAATTTGGGTTTGGGCCCAGAACCCATTTAAACATACCGATGTCTATTTTTTATGAGTGATCATTTTGGGTTTTGTAGTCTTCTTGGTGGTGGGACTCTAGGATAAACTGGTTATTGAGGTTCTTTATCAAGAATAGAGGGGCTATGTGGGTAAATGTGGTTTTTTTTTGTCTGTCACCTATTTGGGCACTGTCTTTTAGCTTTCTTTGGTTATGTTCCTAACCCGGGATATGTCCCGAGGTAGGAAGAGATTATGTGTATATACAGTCCTGTAAGGGCTATTGTTTTGGGTCCTAACCCAGGGCATTGTCCTGAGGCAGTTTGGCCGCCTTTTATTGGCCTTTCGTAGATTTTTTGTTTTCTCTTTTCTAATGAAAGCTTACTTACCTAAAAAAAATTAAAAAAAAAAAAAAAATACTAAGATCCTCTCATATTGAATTATGTTCTGAATTGATAAGGAATCATAATATATATGGTCCATTTCTTGCTTACTCCTCTATTACATGAATGATTTATTCATTATTAAGCAATGCTGAAACTTGATAGGGACCATGTTAATGCTTATATGATTATATTATAATCAGTCAGTTTCAAACTAGAATAATACATTTTACTAAGATCTTGGCAACATATTTTAACTGTTTTAACCATAAAAGAGAATTTGTAAAACAATATTTTAAGTCTAAAATTTAATTTTTAACTAGTTTGCAAGCTTAATAATGCAATATTCTGTTTGAAAGAATCTTGTTTTCATGCAGTAACGTCAAGGCCATATATTTTCTGTCTCAAAACTGAGGAAAAAACATGAGATTTTGCAGAGCTTTTACTTTTCAATGTTCACATAATCTGTCATTGTCAAAATTGAGAAAAAGTTACTTCCATCTCAAGTTATAGTAAAGCTAATTATTCTTCAAGTAAACATCTTCTCCCGACAATAATCTACACTTTGCATCACATTCTTTATTTCTTCACTTTGCATCACATTCTTTCTCTCTTCATGCATCACATTCTTTCTTTCTTCACTTTGCATCACATTCTTTCTTTCTTCAAGTGGCTTGTTGAAAGTTTAATCCTTAAAATCAATGGATTATTTGAACTATTCTTTTATCATTATGATAGCTTGTAGATTGAAGAGACTTCCTATCATTAACCCTTTAATCAGACAATTTGTAATATCTAATGCTATTTGATAGTAATATATATATCAGTTTCAGCAAGAACAAGCTGTATAGTTTGTGCAATAAAGTAAATAAAATATGCTCAAAGAAAAGAATGAAGGAAATGTTTGAACAACACTTACACCTTAACTAGTATCGAATCAAAACTTTGGTTAATTTGGATTTATTCCTTGGTCATTTCCATGCACTATAAAAGTTGAATGGAAGTTGTAGCATTATCACAACATAAGCAAACCAAATATTTCGATTTCTAATAAATCTTTGTTTAATCGCTTACCATCATTCAATATGGCTGAAGCGCTTGTGCAGATAGTGTTGGAACAATTTGTTTCAATCATTCGTCAATAGACAGAAGAAGGGATAGGTTTCACTGCAGGTGCTGAGCAAGAAGTTGAGAAGCTTCAAAGCAACTTCTTGTCCATTCAAGCTTTGCTTGCTGATGCTGAGAATCGACAAGTGAAGGAGAATGTTGTGAGAGTATGGTTAGACAAGTTGAAAGACGTGTCCTATGACATAGACGATGTGTTGGATAAGTGGAACACCAAGCTTCAGAAATTAAGAATTAAAAAAGTTGAAGATGCATCTAAGCCTCTGAAAAGGGTATGTTCCCTCATTCTTTACTATCTCAGTTGTAGGCCTTTGGTACTGCGTTATGACATTGCAATTAAGATAAAAGGTCTTGATGGAAAACTAGATATTATTGCTACTGATAAAGAGAGGTTCCACTTTAGATCAATCATTGAGAGTAGCAAAGAAGTAGAACGACCAATGACAACCTCTTTTATTGATTTAGTAGAGATTTTTGGAAGAGAAGACGATAAGAATAAAATTGTCAATTTGCTCGAGTTAAAGTAGTGAACAACAAGTCCTCCCCATAATCTCGATAGTGGGGATGGGAGGAATCGGCAAGACAATTCTTACTCGATTAGCTTTTAATGATGATAAGGTGAACATCCCTTTTTGATTAAAAAAAATATGGGTGTGTGTTTCTGAGCCTTTCGATGAGCTTAGGATTGTAAAGCTAATCCTTGAATGTCTCACAAATAGTCCATCTCAATTAGTTGGATTAGAAACTGTAATGCAAAATATAGGTCAACAAATTGAAGGAAAGAAGTTTCTTCTTGTCTTAGATGATGTTGGACTGAAAATTCAGAAAATTAGGTAAATCTAAAACATACTCTCAACTGTGGATCTCTCGAAAGTAGAATATTAGTGACCACACGAAAGGAGAATGTTGCAAATGCCATTGGAACCACTAATATAATCTCACTAGGGATACTTCCTGAGGAGGAATGTTGGTCCTTGTTTTGTCAACTTGCATTTTCTGGAAAAACCTATAGAGAGTTTGAAGAAATTGGTAAAAAGATTGTTCAAAAGTGTAAAGGCTTGCCTCTCGCTTTAAAGACTTTAGGTAGTCTTTTGCACTTTAAAAGAAAATTTAAAGAGTGGGAAAATGTCTTAAATAGTGAAATATGGGAAATTAAAGAGGTTGAACAAAGGATTTTTCCACCTCTATTATTTAGCTACTATGATTTGTCCTCTATGGTAAAGAAGTGTTTCTCATATTGTGCTATTTTTCCAAAGGATTACATGATAAAGAGAGAACGGTTGATCAAGTTATGGATGGTACAAGGTTATTTAAGGTCACAGACAAATAAGGATATGGAGTTAGTTGGTGAAGAGTATTTTGAAACGTTAGCAATGCGTTCTTTCTTCCAAGATTTTCAAAAAGAGGAAGACGATATTGATATACGTTCTTGTAAGATGCATGATATAGTACATGATTTTGCTCAATTTCTTACCCAAAATGAATGTTATACAATAGAGGTTGATGGTATAGGAGAAATTGAATTAGAATCTTCTTATGATAAAGTTAGACATTCAGTGATAAAGATTCAAGGAGAGGCCTCATTTCCTAGCTCAATTTATATTAGAAATACTTTTCTACGTAGTCTTGTGGTTGATTGTAATTATGGTACTGACCGTAAGATACTTTTGTCCAAATTAGTTGATCAAGTTACATGTCTAAGGTCATTATCTTTGAGTTACTGCTCAATTAAAGAAATTCCAGTAGAAATAAAAAAGTTAATACACTTGAGGTACCTTGATTTGTCTGGGAATGAAAACATAAAAGAATTGCCTGAGATATTTTGTGGGTTATATAATCGACAAACCTTAGACATAAGTTATTGCCGTACTATTAAAAAACTACCTGAAGGTATTAGAAACTTATACAATCTACAAACCGTAGACATAAGATATGGTGAAAATATCAAAAATCTACATCGAAGGATTGGAAACTTAATCAACTTGAGACATTTGTTAAATTTGGGGACTGAAGATAATATAAGTTACATGCCAAAAAGTTCGGGGAGATTAACTAGTCTACGAACATTACAAATATTTGTCTTAAGTGAGGGCAGTTATGGTAGTGAAGCATATTCTATTGAATGTCTAAAAAACTTCAGACACCTTCGAGAATTGGGAATACAAGGGTTGGGTAATTTGAGAGATGTGGATGAGGTTAAGGGAATAGAATTAAACAATAAGAAAAATTTGCGTCATTTGCATGTAGACTTTAAGGGAGGATGAATGTGGAGCAAAATCAACAACTTCTTGAGGAGTTGCAACCACATCCAAATTTAGAGATACTAAAGCTACGAAATTACAGTGGCAACACTATTTTCCCTAATTGGATGATGTCATTGACCAATTTGAGAATGTTATTCCTTTGGGATTGTATAAACTGTGAGCATTTGCCTCCTTTGGGTAAGTTATCAACCCTTGAAATTCTTCGGATATGGGGAATGAAAAGAGTGAAAAGAGTGGGTAATGAGTTTTTGGGAATAAAGAGTGAAGCTACTTCATCATCTACATCAATTATCGCATTTCCCAAGTTGAAATTTCTATGCTTATGGACGATGAATGAATGGGAAGAGTGGAATTATGAGATTCCAAAGAACGGAGATAAAGATATTACAATCATGCCATCTCTTCAAACCTTGAAACTTCAATTATGCCCCAAATTAAAGTCTCTACCAAACCACCTTCATCAGATAACGTTGAAGAAGGAAATTATAGATTGTCCTTTTCTAGAAAGACAAAGAACAAATAGCTAATTGTCATCTTCGTCAGATAAGTTCTCTAAAGTTATCAACTTCAACACTGATTTTCCTTCAAACCACTGGTAATTTCCTCTCTTTTCCCTTTTAGTTATTTGTTTTATTACATTCTTTATCATTATTATTATTATTTTTTTTTTTGGGAATAACTCACATCTTTTGATATTTAATACCCTAATTATCAATCACCATTTTTGTACTCTTTAATCATCTTAATGAATCTAATTATAATGTTAATATAAAGCTTATAATTTAAGGATGGGACGCTATTCTGTAAACATAACAAATTTATTTTCTCAACTCAAAATAAGAGGATTTGAACCAATGTAGGGTCTCTGTTAAAGTGAAGAACATAACAAGAAAATTTCTACTAGAATCATAAATCAATGTTTGTTATGTTCCCAAAAGAAGTTGAGTGAATTGACAGCTCATCATCATCTCCTCCAGTTTTGACCAACACCTCTCAAGTCTTCACTTCAACTTTGATTATGTGAAGGGACCTAGTTAGTAAATACGGGTATGACAAAAAAATGGTACGAAAATTTTACAGGTATAATACAGCAAACAGTGAAAAATACGTTTATAAAAATTCGACCATAAAATTCGGATACGGGAAAAATATGGTACGGGTATATACGGATTTAATACGGGTGCATTGTCAAAACACGTTTTGAAAAATACGGCAATATCAATCTTTGTTTTAATACTTTTATGGATTACTTGGCTAAAATCAATATAGTATTTCAAATGCAAAGTATTCAATTAACCAATAACACAAATATACAATATATAACTGATATTCAAATTATAGTCTCCAGACTTAAACACAATATTTAGCCATGATTCTTTACTAATTTAAAACTTGATAAGTTTGATATTAAATGCAACAAATTTTAACTTTCCATTAATCCATTAAATTATTTAAATCAAAAACTAAAATTTTGTCTCACAAATCTATATAAAAGATGAGAAGTGCTAGTCTTACAAAGACAAATACAAAGGGGACATACAAAGACAATCCCCACCCGTGATCTTCATGATTTCTCTCTCTCTTTCTCTTTTTCCGTTTTTTCTTTGTTTTTTTCTTCACTTTGTAGGCTTCTTTGTATAAGTCTTTGTAAGGATAGACTTATTCATAAAAGATTAGTGTTACAATAGTCTAACTATTATTTTATACCTATAATATATGATAGTTTTTTTTTTTCACAATAAATTATTATTTTAATATCATTAATCCAATCTAATTTATTAGATAGCACGGAAATAATTTAAAAATATGAAATGATTTTGTATGTGTTTTGATTTTGAGTTTAAAATGTAAAGGTGTCAGGTGTGGGGGAATGGGCGGGAAAATGGACGTCTTTGAGAGGGTTATTTTTTTTTTTATTCCCCCCCTTTTCCAATCTCTTCCCTTACGTCTTACCCACTGATTTCTTCTTCCCCCACTAAAACGACGTCGTTTCAATTAGTTTTTTTTTTTTCAAAAATTCACGAATAATTCGGTAACCCTATGTAAAATACGTGAATACGCATTTTATACGGATATTTACTAACTAGGGAAGGGACAACCTTTGAATTCTCAAAATGCTACAATCGTAATCAATCCACAGGTAATTACTTCTCTCCTGACCGGTTAGCTTTATTTTTATAATGAATAAAATTTCGGATGAGATTCTTTAGTGTTAATGCTTGTGAATAGGCAATATTTTTATAAATTTATGAATAATTAATAAAAGCACATAAATTATTATTGGGCCCTTGTACAGAATTAGTTGGGCTCTCTAAGCCTGGCCCGTTTTCAGTCTATCGCAAATCTATTTCTAACAACTGGATATGGGCCATGTACAATTGTTAGGATGCAAAGCTATTTATCCTACTCATTCAAACGACGTCGTCTTTTCTACTGACGGGGACTCAAGGAGTAATTGTTAGTCGTCATCAACCTCACCAGAAACTTCTTGTAGATTGGCGGTGACACAGACAGCGATGGGGGAAGCTCAGGCGTCGAAGAGAATCCCGCGCATCAAGTTCCCTCCGGTCTGTTTTTCTCTTCTTGTTTCGCTTCAACTTGAATTGTTTTCTTGTTAAATTTTTAATAAATCGTGTATCGGTGTATGTTTGCATTTCTCCAAATCCTAGAAATAAATTCAGTGCTTGATTCGATATATATAATTATAAATTTCGCTTACTAGTGTAAGAGGATGTATTTACTTGTAAATTCATGAAATCAAATTTTGTAGTATAATGGATTATTCAGCTACATCATGATTCTGGTACTTGTAAATTATATTGTTTATGGTTATTTGAGGAAATATTGTAATGCTTTTAGCTCTATTTATTAATTACCTTCCAGATGATGCCAATACTTAACATTCTACTTTTAATCCTTCTATTCCGAGTGCTTGAAACGATTTTAATGATAAGTAACTCTTTTTGGTTATGTTCGTTAGTGACAGATATTTCATTTTAATGATAGAATTACCAGTCCTTTTCAGCATAAAAAGTAGAGTGACATTCAGGAAAAAGAGGATCTTATCATTTGCTTGAACGTTGTCAAATGAGAGAAATCTGCTAAAAACTCTCAATTTGAGTCCACTTTTTTTCCTAAATATATCGTTACTTTCTGCTGCTACTGTATCTCTTTCAATGCGAGAATATTGTCTTTCAGAACTCTGATTAAACTGCTGTTGAAATTACACTGATATTCATTTGTTCAGAGTTGGCATTTGACTCATGGTAGTTGATATTCTTTACCGTAGGGATGTTCTTCGCTGGGGAAAGAATATCATCTCTGCTAAAACACGGACAAAAAAAAGAGCTGGCACAGCAGTTGACAATAAAGCATCTTCCCTAGAAACACTAGTCAGTACCCTTGTACCTTGTTTTCTTTATACTGTCCATGTTTTTCAGCACAATTTACTAATTACTTTCTAGATTTTGCAAGTGCAACTCATTCTCAATCAGCATCTTCATCTGTTGATGCTTTTTTCACTTCATTCTCAAGTTTAAAGTATTCTCAATCAGCAAATGCAAATGCTTTTTCACTGAAATAATAATGTGTTTTTCAGTTTAAAACCACAGTTTTGTTTTTCAGTGGTCATGTGCTTCAACGCGTAACTCTGCATTTTTGTCCAAAGAAGAAACCACAGTTTTATGTACTAACAGTACTTGCTCAGGTGATTTGAGGTGTGAAGTGTGTTGCTCATTTTCAAAGTTCATCCAACTCTGTTTTTTCGAAAAACTGGCTGCTTATGGAAGAACATTCCAAGAATCTGGTGTCACTTAAGCAAATCAATCATCCCTTGACAATCCTGAAAATGGAATGAGGTATATGTTACCATCACTTTCTTTGTTTCATTTCATTTCTCAGTTGAAGCAATAATCTCTCCAAGTTCTGCCACTTATCTTAGGCAACAGTTTTTTCACATTATTATATGCTTTAACTTTGTTAGAGACTGATTTTCTAATAACTTTGTTAGAGAGATTGTATCCTTCTATGCTTTTGATTTATAATGAAAAATCTCCGCCATATTATTACCGTGGACGTAGCCCAAATGGGTGAACCACGTAAATTGTTGTGCCTCATTTACTTTTATCCGTTTTCTTTATTTTCCTTACTTATATTTAGTTGGAATCTCAGCATTTGTACTTCATCAATGCGTCATTACCGTTCAATTATTTTTGACAAAAGCTAGCACATATAGATATTTTTCATCCCAAGTGATATAGAGTTGAGGTGATTTAATATTATTTCAACCTAACATAAGATAAGACTAGACAAAAATTTTAAGATTTCATGCAAGAATATATATAGCAAAGTTTACGTACAAGAAATCATATTCTTTTATAATATTAATAAGTTTCTTTTAATATCATTCAATTAGTTAATTTTCATCTTCTTTGTGGAATTATTGAATTGTCTGTAAACTAAGATCCGATGACAAGAGAAAAGGATGACCTTTCACTACCAAAGATAGTTAACCAGAAGAAAACAAACCCACAGAGAGATTAATGAAGGGATTCTCAGGCAACGGTTTATAAGCTTCAAGGTAGTCTGTTGCAGCATCTTGATGATGGCTGGTCATGGTAAACTGATGTCTGGAAATGGTACTGGGTGGCACACAATCTGCATAACCATGAATAGCAGCTCCAAGAAGTGAGACGGTGTGGATACAGCATAACCATGAATCTTACACAGCCGAAGGAAAGCTCAGGATCCTTCTTGTTGCATGAAATCTGTGTATAATGTTAAAACATGTACTTTCCTTTAGCAAAGGCTCAGAGTATGCATATTTTAATTCCAAGGCAAGTTGTCAATTAAGGTGAGAAAAGCTTCAGGAACTGAAAAAATGAAAAAGATTCTCTAAGTTCAGAACATTAAAGCTCCAAGAAACTTCAGCTCATCCTCCTTAATTGTAAATTTGTTGTAACCTGATTTCCGAGCAAGGTTAATAACCTCAAATGTCTTCCTATACCTCTTCAATGGTCCCATTGTCTTGCAAGTTGCGACAACTATTAACAATAGAGAGTACTAAGTTAAAACCATAATTACGATGAAAATGAAATTGCCAAATGAAACAATCTAAACCAAACAAATAAACAATCACACACAAATAATGTAAACAATAAAGAGAAAGCACATATGTAATTTATCCTGTTCACTCAAAAATATGTTACTTCCAGCAAAATCAATATTATTGAAATATCTCCTTACTCTTCTTGTTACAATGAATATATTTGTTTATGTTTTGTTATATTACTCATACAAGAGAATAATATGTTTATATAATACGTTTAATGGGAAAAACCTAATATTATTAAGATCTCTTCTCCCAAGTCTAAATCGTATTAGGAGTTTAATTATTTAGAGAAATCTTACAGTGGCTTTCATGGAATAGGCCTAAATCCCTATGGGCGCAGGGGATGCGTATGTCTTGCTCTTTATTGTTGAAATGGTCGATAACACCAACACCAAAGTTAATTGTTGTTCTTGAGCTGGAGAATACAAAGGAAAAGAATGCAAGTTTTCAGACACCAGTTTTCTGGAATTGTTCATCTCTTCATTTTTCATTAGCACAATCTGAGATTATATATAGACAATTTACATCCACATTTACATCAACTGATGTACCTACTCTTGCAGAGAACTGAGTACCTACCTAATCTGCAGAGATTTTACTGAAACATTACAGCAGACCCACATAAACTTAACTAACACAAAATATATCTGATTTTACAATCCTAAATATCAGCTAAACTACTTGAAGACCAAAACACTGACGCAACAGCTTCCATTTCGGCTCTGAACATCAACCTCGTTCAGGTGGCATACTACACCAGATCGCATGCACTTTAGATCGCATTCATTCATTCCAGCTCGCATTTATTCCAGGTCGCACCAAACATGCTTCCAGCAAGATATCACTTGCATTAACATTAATACACAACTTTAGCATCCCAACAAGCAGGAGAAATCTGAATATGGATAATTTAAGCAAGATGATAAAGAAAGAAACAATTAGATTAAAAGAAAAAGTACAAACATCTACTATAACATATATATTTCCTTTGCTTAATGTTCTGTTGCTTCTACCATATATATTTCCCAAAAAAATTTGACTTGTATATTGTAAGCTTGATTCCCTCGTAAGAACACCAAATAAAAAGAAAAAATATCTTGTTTCTTAATGGTTTTATTTTAAAGTTTTAGTCCCTAGGAGTTATGTTTTAGAGTTGTTTTTTTGCTTTATCATTTCTCATTATCAATATGCTTCTTTTTGTCTTTTATCCAAAAAAGAGTTGATTGATTTTGATGATGTGTTTTTGCAAATGCATGCTTGTGTATGCATTACTTTTCATCTGTTCAATAATTTTTGCATATTCACATTCGCTTGGGCAGGTTTGTAATAGCAAAAATGAGATTTCATATCCTGATATTGGCAATCCAGATGATGTTTCTCATAAACCAGATCAAATGTTTATTGAACATGACCATTTGACTGATCATGAAGGTAATTTTGTAACACTGGAGACTAGAATGATGTTGAATTCAATGCTGAAACTTCTCCTGGCTCCTTCAGAGATGATAAAACTAATTATATGCTTCTCAGTCCTGCTAAGCAAGAGTTGCTTCATAAGCCAAATGGTATGGCTGCTGTGTGAGAACTTGCTTTATTGAGTAAGACAATGGAAACAAATATTTCTCCATCAGAAAAAAGATGTCATACCATACCAGAGCCACTTACAAATTCATTACCGTATTTAACTCTTAACGGTTTGAGAAAGGAGCAGTTGATACTTGAACGTTTACAGGTCTTTTACATGATCCCTTGCTCACTCAGCACTTACACCAGGAAAATAACTGTTGTCCTGTATTTCTACTGATTTATTTTTAAACTTAGCTACTTTTCCAATATTCTTATTCAGGTTGACAGATTCATTTTGAAAGCTGAGCTACTAATGTGGCTTGCAAAACTTGAGGGTCAGTGCAATGCAATTGATGGTAAGTCTATAAGACGAGTATTGGTGAGGCTTGAACACCAAGGGCACTGTAAAGTTCTATTCTAGGAATTACAGTCCCGGCTGTCAGGAATTTTGGCCATAACTGCATTGCTACTTTGGTTTTGCATTCATCTATTCAAAGTTTGACACTGGATCTAATTGGTGAAATTCATGATAGACTGAGGTCTTCTAATGGTCAATGGTTCATGCAGCAAGAAAAAAAACAAATCGATTCCTGTATTGGAGGATGTCCAAAGAATTCAAAGCCATATAGATTCCGATGGCAAAGCTGATAGATTAGAAGCTATGCAAGCTAATGGGTTTGAGCCAGGGAAAATGATTCGTGCAAAGTTGTTGCATGGCTTTCCATGGGTTATCTGAGTAGTTCCTCTGCTTGGAATGATGTTTTATCATCTGGAAAGCATATGCATGACTTAAAAGGATTCTCACAGTTCTTGCTGTTTGTTTTCAGTAGAAGCAGCCATTATCAACATTCCCCTTGAGCTCTTCTTACAAGTTGCAGGATCTACCAAAAAATCAGATGATATTACTGAGAAGTGTAATAGGGGTTTGTGTCTTTCTGATCTTCCTACTGAAGAGCATAGATATCTCATGGTTAATGGGGCAACTAGGGATGTTATGATCCCACATTAGAAGGGAAAGAGGTGGGCATATGGGTTATAAGGGCTTGGACACCTTTTTTTGGCAAGCCGGTTTTCTAAGAATAGTTTTACTTAAGCCCATAAAAGACTCATGGCCTAGCCTAATTGTTTGAGTTGTTGGGGTGGGTTCCTATTAATTGGTATCAAAGCATGATTATATGCCTATGTGATAGGCTGACCTTGGGCCCAGGTTGCTACCCTGAGAAAGGACATGGAGGCCCGAGGGAAAAAGGGATTCACATAGTCACCTAAGGGGTAAAGAGGCTAACGTGAACGTCAGTTATGGAAGCATGATGGAATATTATGATCCCAAATTAGATGGGAAATTGGTGAGCATATGGGTTATAGGGACTTGGGCACCCTTCCCATTGGTAAGCCAGTTTTCTAAAGAGAGTTCTACCCAAGCTCATGAAAGACCTATGGCCCAACCCAATTGTTTAAGTTACTTGACCATCACAATTTAGAATCATAACAATAAATATGTTTCTGTGCTCGTGTTCCAGATATATATTGCATGCCTAACAGCTGACTATATGATGTAGTTGATTCGACTAGTATGTAATGGAGATTTGGATGGTTGTTTACTTGTTTGACGATCTCGCATGCCACTTTGAAATACGCAATTAAACTTAAACCTTACATAGAGGAACCACCAACAGTAGTAGCTGTGACATCCAATTTTAAATCAAGTGGTCTTCACCGACAAGTTAGACATTATTTTTTCTTGTCAAGTAGAGAAGCTGTTGATGAATATTGGCAAATTTTAGAGCATTGTTACGCTGCTGTTGATCGGAGAGCTGCCTTACATGCATTTTTTTATATTCGCAATTAAATTAAGAGGTTTCCCTAGAGAGAACAGTTCTGACAGGTGTTTTCTTATCAGTCATGAGCATAATTGAATAGTATGTCGAGTTCCTGAAATAAATAGTGATTGAGTGGATGAAAAGATTTCAGAGTGTGTGAGAAGATTTCAATGGATCTTAACTGATATAAGAGCAGGATAAGTTTATATTTCAGGTTACTTAGAGTTAGCCATATATAGGTTTTTAGTGCTCTTTGGTTTTGACTAGGTTCTTTTAACAGTGATTATTTTATGAGTTTCTCAGATGTGTATCTGACCGTTCATGTCTGAGTTTTTTGGGTATAATTTTTCTTTATATTATTGAATTAATAAGTTTTTTACTATTGGAATGCTACTTGCAGGTGCTGCATATGCATTATGATAAGCATCAACATATTAACGTATTCCAAGGTGCTTCTGATGCAAATGAGAATGGGTGTTACTGAATACTTACTTACTGTCATTCGGATTTAACATATCTTTGTTCACAGGTTCCAGATTTCCGATAATCATATTTTCACCTTGAGTCCTTTGAATGCTCCGTTGTTGACCATTGAAAAAAAAAAAAAAAAAAAAAAAACTAACTGAGTATCTGTTTAAACTGTAGGGACAAAAAAAGAGACTAGATAAGTATTGTGCTAACCGAGTATCTATTTGAATTGCAGAGATTGAAAAGAGAGGCTAGTTGAGCGGAAGCTGATGAATTCAATTATAATTGAATCAACATTGCCTATTTATACTAAAATAAACTATAATATAAGGTAAGTTAAATAGTCTAATAATATCTAGGGTTTCTTTGATCGAATATTTTCTACCCTATTTCTAATCATATTATGAAAATAACTGTTTGTTTCATTATTTAGAAAATACTGTATTATTATATTTTATTCAATTACTTTTAGACTCCTTAAGTTTATTAATTTTATTAAATACCGCCAGAAAAAAAAGTTTAAAAATTAACAAAAACACTCTCACTCACCCACATTTTCCTGATTTCGACAACCACCGTCGGAAGTTGACCAGAATCAGGTGTAATGACGCACTACTGACTGGATCTTACCGGTAGTGCGCTGATCTATCATTTTACGAAAAGGCTAGATCCATAGCCATAACTAGTTGTCAACGACAGCCAAGATATGGTCTTCGTTGATGACCAGATCTGGCCGTATCTGGCCAGATCCACGGTGGATCTAGTTGGAAAAGTCAATCTCAGCACATAATCGGCCAGATCTAACCTGTTGTGCATCGATACGGTGACTCCTGCCATCCTCCGACGGTGGTGGCCGACTACTAGAATTTAATGGGTGAGTGGGGGTGTTTTTTTAATTTTAATATTTTTATTATAGGGTGTTTAGTTATTTAACAAACCTAAAGGGTGTTTTTGTTAATTTTTAAATTCTACCTCGTTATTCCCACTCAACTCTAAAAATATCAAAAATCCTATCCAAAATAATAAAACAAACTCACCCTAGAATCTCCTAAAAGAGTAAACTCGATATTACTTAACTATTAAGGAGAGACGTATATTTTTCTACCATTTGCATTCCAAAAGTACTGATAAATTACCTGATACTGCAAATAAATTTGTGGAAGAAAATGACCTTCATTCTCTGGTATACAAGGATGATGGCCATTTGGAAAATGTATAAGAGCGAGGACCAAATGAAGAAGATGAAAAAGGTCATTCTACATTTCGTCAGCATGCTGTTTTGAAAATGAAGTTATCATTTTTAAAAAAAAGGTTCTTATGGACAGATGAAGCAGATAGGTAAAAGAAAATTTCTTGATCATAAATCATGGAAAGGCATATTTTTATAGCTTATCACATAAAAGGTTTGCCCCACTTTGGATATTGACTAACAAGATGTTTACAAAGGTCAGAAGCCCACAGCCCCCTATTTAAATCGGGACATTAAAATAGGAAATCGAATTTCAGATGCTATATTTATTTATAGGATCATCGGTTCGCGTCTCTAAGATGTAATATATAATAATGAATAATGCATATTCACGCTAAAAAATAAGTAAATAAATGAAAGAATATGAAAAAATTACAAAGAAAGTAAAACCCAAAGAATTTTTTTTTTTTTGGTTGGGAAATTAATTTGGAGAAATATAAGTGAAATTTACTGTACAAAAATCACAATTAAGTGTTACTAAAACAGTGCATTGGTTGGAGTATTTTTTTTTTTTTTTTTAAATGTGAGGCAATGTGTCATGTTTTTATTGGTAATAATTTTTAGAGCAAACGACCAAGGTTTGTCTTAATAACTTTTCTTACCTAAAAAGTTTCAAAATAGCACTTTACCACCCAAAGTTATATTTTGTTAATTCCCAAAATATACTTCACTTTCTCAGTTGGTATTCGATGAGTTACCAAGAGCCAGAGTTAGAGTAATTTTATAGAGTAGAGTCCGATGGATTGAAACCATTAAAATCAACTGGAAATCAGCTAAGAATAGGAAACTTTAGTTTTGCAATAGTTGACAATTGGCCAGAAATCAAGTGGTGGAATGAGAGGGGTTTTGTAGAGAGAATACCAGAGGTTCAAATGGTGGTGACGGAGAAAATTTTTGTCACAAGAATTGACTTTGGGTAGTAATGGAATATAAACTTTGGGTGAAAAAGTAATATTTTAAAACTTTTTGGGTGGCAAATTATTAAGGCAAAGCTTGGGTGGAAAAAAATCGTTTACTCTAATTTGAGATATTATTTTATATAATTAATAGAAAATGAAAATAGAATGCTTAATTATTCAAAGAATTGGAAAAGTTTTGCGAGAAAATTGAATCCTAATAAAATGTATTTAATTATGAATAAATTATATGTTATTATTATACATAAATTAATATATCAATGCTTAATCATACACCATCCGTTTAGTGATAATTATATGTTATATCCAAATTTAGATGCTATTAAAATATTTAAATTTAATAGAAGTTGAATTAATTATTATTATTATTTTAACTTGTAGCGCAGTCCACGTTCATTTAGTTTATGAAATTCACTTAAATACTGATTAATTTCACTCATTATTTTATAAATGGACCCATTATTTAGTTTCGACCAAAATATTAAATTAAAAATAATTATAAAGTAATTAGGAAATAATAATTAACTTAAATATAATTAATATTTGACTTAACAGTTGATTATTACTGCAGTGGAGTAGAACGAGGAGAAGGGAGAGTCACCGATTCAGCGAAGGATCATTAACAATGAGTGAAGAAGCTCCAAAGCTCTACACCAACAAACCCAAGAAGGGTAAATCTCAACCCTTTTTTCTTTTGTTTTTTATGTTTTCAGAGTACAATTATTTGCTTTTGAAAACAGAAATTATGAAGATAAAAAAACATCCCTTTCTTGCCTAGCAAAGCAAGAATCTTTTCCCGGGATTTGATGTATTTTCTTGGTTTCAATCATTGAAGTTGTGATCTTTACTCATTCTTTTTCGTGAGTTAACAGCTCAGCTTAAACAGTTTCAAGAACAACAAAAAGGAAAAGTTTTTGCTTCTTCAACACCAATTCCGCGGCCATCATCATCATCAGCTGCAGCAGCATCGTACACAATGGGGTCGAGCTCTGCTGCTTCGCCACCTCCGCCTCCAAAGGAGTCCTTTGCTAGGCGTTACAAGTTCCTTTGGCCCCTGCTTTTGACCGTTAATCTCGCTGTTGGAGGTCACTTTCTTTCCTTAATTTTATGCGTATCATGTGCATTTTAGGTGTATGCAATAGCTTATTGATTGGATTGTTGAAATGGGTTTTGTTGGATATTAGCTTGAAGAGTGAAAAACACCAAAATGATAAGTGGTTTTTCGATGTTGTGGTTTGTGGGTGATTTCCTGTTACAATGGGGATTAGGTTTTAGTATAATTATATCGTTATTTTGATAAATTTATCTGTAATTGCATTTCACGTGGATGGTTTTAACTTAATTGGGTTAATGATTAATATTGATAGAAATTATTGGTGGATGTGTGTGAGAAAGAGAGAGAGGAGTGGGGGGAGGGAGATAGTTTACAATAGGGATTGCTAGAGTGAATTTCTTGATACCTTTTTGGCTTGTCTGATAACAATTAACAATGAAAATGTTTGAATTTTTCAATTTTTCACCTTGAATAGATAGAGTATAACGTTAGTAGGTAAGGCTGTAATGAAGACTGTAATGAAGATAGACAATGGAGCAGTATATTAGAAAGAAATCTTAAGTTGTTACAGAGGTGGACTAATTGTTTAGAGGAAATGAAATTGGATGTAGCTCAAAGAAGCATGTTGCCAATACTAATGGTCCCTAAACATAAAATGCGAATGAGTGCAACTCTGAAATTATCACGCAACTGTTATAACTTTCCATAAAATTATTGTTTTTGTTGTCCTTACATCTTAGAAAGGTGATTGAACATTCTAAATGTATAGAATGATGAAAGTCTGGATACAACAATCAATTATAGTTGATTTCAATGTCCTTTTACTTGCCTACTTGTGTAATTGGGTGGGGGTCGCAAGAATAGGGTGAGGAACAGATGTGAAAGTAAATTTGAGTATGATGGCTTGAAGGGGTAAAAACTTTTTCTGTATATTTGAGGTCAGGCCCCCCCAGCAAATAGCATTAAGATCTGTTCGATATGTTCTCCTGTTTCAGAGGTTTCAAATTCATCACCTTTGGCCTCATTCTGTGCTCAAGTTACACTGTTGACCATAAGTTTTGAGTCTAAGCTCGTCTTTACATAATCGAAGTGATATTTATGACTGGTGGTTATAGCTTTTGACTTAGTTGATTTCCTACAGTTGCATTTTGCATAAAAGAAAATGGTTATGCTGATGTGAACTTTAAAATGGTATGCTGACTTCTTTATTCTATGGTGCAAATGGTGGGATAAATGCTTCTCTTATTAGTGCATATCTTATGACCTGAAACATTTCATGAAGAATCCATTCTCCATTAGGGTCAATAATAAATTTTTGTCCAGTTGTTGTCTTCTCTAGAAGGATAGAAGCAATGCCCTATGCTTGTGTGTCAAATTGTCATGATCACCTTTGTTTCTTTGTCTTTGTGCTCTTTCAGTTTTATGTATAACCCTAGTATTAACATCTAGTGATCTTTTCCCTTACTAGACTTGGCTTATGAATTGGTTCTAAGATTATCTTGTATAGACCTTTCAAGTTTTTGTAAAGAACACTTGTTAGGCATGGAAGTCATGAGTAAAGGTACCAGACATGTTTATGATAGGCCTGTGTTTGAAGATATAACTAACATATGTGTCAAACAAAAGCAAAAAAGGATCATATTGTTGTTCATGTTTAAGTACACTTAACTACTTCATGGCCTGTCACATGGAATCATGTTTGACATGCTATCATCGTCATTTGTGTAAGTTTTTTATGGTTTTTGTAGGACAAGATCAAGAGTTCTGCTAGAACCATTGTGCTAAGGTAGGTTTTGGATGGATATCATACCAAGGCATACACCGCCGCCCATTTCTCCTTCTCCGTTACAAGTGACATAATACAGATGTTTTCTACTTTGCATGTCATCTTTCATTGTTCATCCTTGTAAAAGTCAGCTCAAATAAGCCAATAATTTCTGCTACATTCTGTTGTCTTCTGACTTGCTATCCAACTGTACTATTTAGAGAAACACCCTCCATTAAATCTCCAGAGATGATTCTTTTTGTCTCATCTAGTGCAGTATGGTTTGCAACTTTGCATCTCAATGTTGCTTGCCACTGTTTGAACTTAAGCTTGAACGTAATCAACCAAATTCTAAAAACAAATAAGAAAAGTCTGTTTTCTCTTGTCTTGGGCTTTAGCTCAAAAATGTTGAGGTGGAATGGAGTTTAGGAGAGCTTTTAGATTCAAATTTTACCAATCCAGAAAAGGGTGAAAAGGAAAGCTCTTTTATCATGAAAACTACATCTCAGCTCACTGAAGTCGATCCGAGACAGGTATGAGTTTGCTACATGAATTCTCATCCTCAATTTGGTGTTGTCACCATCATGATAGGAAATTTGGTAATTATTGATAGTAATATATTTCATCTTGGTAATTATTATACTACCTTTATCTTGGTAATTAATATTAATGTCTTTCATTTTGTTTAGTGAGCATGATTATAATGGAACTTGCTAGAAAGACTACTGTGATCTATGCTTAAGTCAACCCAAGAAACCCTGGTTAGAATAATATTTCTGTCATCATAGTCTTTATGATGATTAACTAATGTTCATGTGAGGAGTGACAACTCATGCTTCTGTTCTTTAATTCCAAATGGATAAGATAGTGTAAAATGTATACAATATGGAACCCACTGAATTTCTTTTAACCTATCCTAATTCCTTTTCTAAGTCTCGGGTGTATTTTTTATGTTGTGTATTCTCTAGTAACTTTTAAGTAAAACAAATATTCATGAGTTACTTGAAATTATATACTATTTAATTTTAATGTCACGTTTTGTTATCTTGAACGGTAGTGTGGAATTGTCATTCCGCATGCATAGAAACTAATAATAATAGTGGTGAGTGAAACTATTCTTTACTGGTCCCCTGCTTTCTCACCAGCATAATTAGTTTCTTAAAAACTTTTTTTGCTTTTGTATGGTATAATTGTTTATGAGCTGTCCAACTGTGGTATTCCCGCTAACGAGTTAGATATAAATTAATTGGAAGTGGAAGTGATTTGTTAGGACTTCAAGTGCTTACTGATTGCATTACATTCAGGCAGGAGTAGATCAGCGGTGATAAAGCATTTTTTTCTGTGCTGTGTCATTGTTGATGAGCACATGTTGGTTATTTGTGTCGGGGCACTGCTTTGATAATTACCAAGAGTGGACTGGTAATAATAACTAGTTGTGGTGCTTTATTGTTGTGTCTAACTCTTTTAACTTGTTATGGCTCTCTCCCGTAACGGAGGTAATCATGCGTTGTTTTGTGGTCCAAGCATCCAATACCTGCACTTTGTTTATTTTTTCCTCTCTTGGACTTGGATCTATTTATTTGTTATAGTTCTATTTTGTAAGGTAATCATTCTTTATTTGTGGTCCAAGCATCCAACATTTATAGTTTTGTTTTTCAATCACATACTCTGATTTTTGCAATTGTTAAACTTAGAAAATGACTTGTCCCTAGAAAGTTTCAATTCAGTTCCCGGACAATATACTAATTGGAAACTGTCTGCGACGTGTCTGACTGAGTTTCATATTATTGGTGTAGCTTACATATTTATGAGGACCAAGAAAAAGGATATCAGCATAACAGAGGAAGAAGGGGCAAAAGATGTTCCCTCAACTCCAGCTTCAACCACAGCTGCCACAGCTGCTGTCATCACTGAAAAACCCGTTTCAGAGTTTGTGAAGTTGCGTGAACCAATTCCTGTGGATCAGCAACGCGAACTTTTCAAGTGGATATTGGAAGAGAGAAGGAAGGTCAAACCAAAGGATCCTGAAGAGAAGAAGCATATTGATGAAGAGAAAGCCATTCTCAAACAATTTATTCGAGCAAAATCTATTCCAAGTATTTAGCTAACTGACTACCTGTTTATTAAAACATACCTGTGTTAAAACAGTTTGGATTTTACTTGTGAAATATGAAATTTACTTTCTCAGTGCAATATGATGCCTTCTGGATGCAATTTTTTTATACATTTTATCGTCTTTATGGGTTGCAATAGTTCTATCTCTCTCTGCTTAGTTTTGATATGGTTATATTGTTCATTTCATTTTTGGCATCATACCAACTTATTAAGGACCTGTAATTAATGTAATGAGAATGGTCAGAGATAGACCACTGAGAAATGGCTGCAAACCCCTTGATATGGGGCACATACTAATGTGCACCAACATAATTGCAGGAGCCATTTCAAATGGCCCAAGTTGGGAACAGAGAATGTCTTGAGAATAAATTATATAGCAACCTAGAAGTGAACCTGATAAAAATCCCTTAGAATATGAGATTCAACATCAGGGTTCCCTTTTTGACCAGAAATATTATAAAATTTAAACACTTCAGGTTGCATTTCATCAAGTGTATCCTCTCAAGGCACATGGGATTGGTCTTGTTCCTTTCTCTAACTTTTCTTATCATTTTAAATGAAAGTAATTTTGTTATTATGCTTTGCTACCACATTCTTTTCTGGGGAGTGAAAATGCAGCATCAAACTCCTCCCTTCCTGTCTTTTTTTGGTCATATTAGTGTCTGTTTGCTAACTTCATTGCCATTGGAATAGAATTTAAACTCCATTTGGTGCCAAATTTCATGAATTCTGAAATCAATGAGCATATTCTCCAAACTTTTATATTAATACAAAGATTCATTCACATGGTCCTAATTTGTAAACATGCACAATTTCCAAAAAGGATGTGGACACCCATAACATTACTGAGAAGAGTCCCACACCATGCAACAAAGTCCTTAATTTCCAACCAACTACAACAAATTCAAGTACCAAACACCTTACTATTCCAACTTCCAATTATATTTCTTGTCCCTTAAATATCCTCTAATAATAAATACCCGCAAGTATATACACTCCAAGATCTCTAAAACCCAAAACTTTTCAAAGATTATATTGATAACTATATCCCAAAATATTCTCTTGGATTCTTAAAGATATAGTAGAGAAAGCCAAAAGATGAGCCTAACAATTTGATGTCATGATGATATTCAATATTTAAAGTACTAATTTGATACTTAATCATAAGTTAGGTTAGTTTGAACAATGAGGAAAAAAGGAGAAAGCTAAGGGATGGAGCTTCACATTATAATACACATGAGCAATCAAGAAATGGCCCATTTATGAGATTTATGTATTGTTTATTATCAACAGTCAAAAGAAAGGAGATTTTGAGTCTACTTTTTTCACTAATCATCCCATCTCTTAGTGATATATAATTTTAATTTGATGACAATTATGACTACCCATAACCATGATCAAGTGGGGAGAGGGGCATATAATTTAGAAAAGAAAGAAGGGGGATGGCACATGTGGGATGGCCTGGCTTCTTCCTTATAAAATGAGAAATTGAGGATGGGAATGAAAGTAACATGAGGGCTGGCCTAGACTGTGTATATAATATATATGTTTTAAGGGAAGTGCAGGTCCTGCAGTTTTTAATATGCAGATAAAAGGTGAGTGATTGATCACTGATTTTTCATTTTTCATTTTGAGAAGTTAACGATTAGTCACTCACCTTTGGTCTACAGGTTAAATACATTAGAATATCCAAGATTGATTATATGTTTAAGTACATGTATTTGGGTGTGGATTGAGTTATGATTTCAATGGAGTGAGAGGGACAAAAGTTGAGGCTAAGATGATGATGATGATGATGATGATGGAGAATTGAGAATGTGGTTGGACTTATTGAGTCTCACATGAATGCACGAGGCCATGCTACACCAGCTGCTTCTGCTGCTAAGAGGAGACTGGGGACGCCCTCAAGCTAACTGTGCCACGAGACAATCATGGACTTGTGGGGTCTTATTATTAGTATGAATACATATATCCATACTTAAAAAAAAATACTAATTCTAACAACTAAAGTTACACATGCATTTTAGGTTTAAATTTCAGATACCCACATGAGAATTTCGTTAAAACATACACTTATCATCATTAATAAGGCTAATGGAAGTAAACCCATCTCCATTAACCAAGTTTAGAGTAGTTACATGAGTCCGAAGCTTAGATACCCACTGTGATGGTAAAAATTTCGTGAAAGAAACCAACAATCATATTAATTGTAGTATGAATAAAGTGATACCAATATAGTAGTCTAGACTTTTTTTAACTCGGTAATTGTATTTCCCGTAATTTAAACATAAAACTTCTGGATATAGCTAACGCTAATAGTTAAAAGGTTTGTCATCCGGTCACAAAAGAAGAGGTTAGTCTAAACTTTTTCATACCTCTGAATTTTAAATATCGGTATAAGAATGTCAATAAAACACATACCTTATCGTATCGTTAATTAGGGTAACTGAACCAAACCTACCTCTATCAACCCTCACTAATGAGGGTAATTGTGTTTGAAAGTAGAGTATTTCTTACTTACCATTTTGGAGTAGACCTTTTCAAATGTAAAACCAAAGTGAAAAACCCTTTGTGACGAAAGCAATAAATGATGATTTCAATTAGCCCCATAATTAAGAAAAAAAAAACTAAACTAAAAGCAATTAACCATAATTATAATATAAAAAACTTTACACAAACAACATACAAATATTCTCCTTTTTCTTCCACAAAAACTAGTTCAAACTCTTTTAACACTTTAATTTCTCTATTTTCTTTTTCTCTCTCTCTATCTCTTTCTTCCCCATACCCACGCGTGCACGTACACATGCACATTCATATATGTTTCCATCACAAAAGAAGCTCTGTCGTGACGGCCATAGTCACTCTCCATGATTAAGCTTATATAAGAGACAGACAGACAGAGAGAGAGAAGAGAGAAGAGATCGAGGGCGTGCGTGCAAAATTTTTAGCCAATAATGGACAATTTATTGTGGATTTTGTTTGTAATAACAGTAAGTTTATTATCCACCATCATTTTCCACAACAAAAATAAACTCAAATCATCATCATCTTCCTCAAGATCACACTTCATAACATCAACAACAACCAGAAATCTTCCCCAGCTCCCTTTAGGCTCTCTCGGTTGGCCTTTTCTCGGTGAAACCTTGGAGTTCATTTCTTGTGCCTATTCTGAACGCCCTGAAAGCTTTGTGGACAAACGTCGCTGCATGTAAGTTATGCAAATTTGAAGCTTGGTTTACTTTTGTTTATGGTTGATTAATGATTTCATGTGCAGGTACGGGAAGGTGTTCAAGTCACATATCTTTGGAACTTCGACTATAGTTTCAACGGATGCAGAAGTGAGTAGATTTGTTTTGCAGAGTGATGCAAAGGCGTTTGTGCCATCATATCCCAAATCTCTGACTGAATTGATGGGAAAGTCTTCGATTTTGCTCATCAATGGAAGCTTACAAAGGAGAATCCATGGACTTATAGGAGCTTTCTTCAAGTCTCCTCATCTTAAAGCTCAAATCACTCGAGACATGCAAAAATATGTGCAGAAATCAATGGACACTTGGACTGAAGATCAGCCTATTTACATTCAAGATGAAACCAAAAGTGTAAGTTAATTAAAATCTCAGATTCCTTTAAGATATTGATATTCATGACTTGTTCTTGAAAAGAGTTCCTGTACACACATGATATAAAACAAAAAATATGTCAAATCTTCATATGGACAGAAGTTAAAAGTTAAAAGACAAAAACACAAAAACTCTCTCTCTCTTTACATATGGCCCCTCCCCCAGGACCAGTGAAAGAAATCATTAAACACTTTGAAATTTTATTCTTCTCTGGCTTCTACTTAGGTTTGTAATATGATTTGGCTGGAAAGTAACAAACCCAGTTGTGAATGGGGTTCATGATAATTCTGATGAATAATTTTGTCTAGGAAATTTGATTCATAATAATAATTATGTCACTAAGTCCTTTCTAAAAGTTTCTAAAAGATACTCTTTTTTGGTCTCCAGATTGCCTTTCAAGTACTAGTCAAAGCATTGATTAGTTTGGATCCAGGTGAAGAAATGGAGTTCTTGAAGAAACAGTTCCAAGAATTTATCTCCGGACTCATGTCTTTACCTGTTAACATTCCTGGAAGTCAACTCTATAGATCCTTACAGGCAAGAGTTTTTAAATTAATCTATATGCCTTAGTGAAATTACTTGAGTTAATTTGAAATTTTTTTGAAGTTGGTTCATGAATTTCAGGCGAAGAAGAAGATGGTTAAGTTAGTACAGGAGATTGTTCAATCTAAAAGGAGTGGTGGGATCTCATCAGTTCCGAAAGATGTGATCGATGTGTTGTTGCTCAACAATGCAAGCGATCAGCCATTAACTGATGATCTAATCGCGGACAATATGATTGATATGATGATTCCAGGAGAGGATTCAGTTCCAGTTCTTATGACTCTTGCAATTAAATATCTTTCAGATTGCCCGGCTGCTCTCAATCAGCTGACGGTATGAATAATATTACATTTACAAAGTACTTTTTCATGAATACGACATTAATTTGATGGTGAGGTACGCTGTCAATTATTAATGAGTTAATTGATAACTGTGATGCATTATTTCTCAGGAAGAAAACATGAAGTTGAAAAGACTGAAAGCTGAGCTTGGAGAACCATTGTCTTGGAGTGATTACTTATCATTAACTTTTACACAAGCTGTAAGTTTCTATTTAATTGATTAACAGCTACAAGTAACTTTAAATAGGTGATTTAACTTAAATTTGATGTAATTAAACAGGTAATTACAGAAACTCTAAGGATGGGAAATATAATAATTGGAGTGATGAGAAAGGCCATGAAAGACATTGAGTTTAAAGGGTATCTAATACCAAAAGGGTGGTGCTTTTTTGCATACTTTAGATCGGTTCATCTTGATGAAAGTAACTATGATTGGCCTTATCAATTCAACCCCTGGAGATGGCAAGTAAGAAGCTAAGGGCCCTCTAAGTGCTTTAATTTTATTTATTTTTTTCTGTTTGTTTCTCGAGAAATTTAACCTTTGTGTTTGGTTTTGCTCACTGCAGGATAATAAAGACATCGGCAATTGTAACTTCACTCCTTTTGGAGGTGGACAAAGACTATGCCCTGGTCTTGACTTGGCCAGGCTGGAAGCTTCCATCTTTCTGCACAACTTTGTTACTCAATTCAGGTAATCAAATTAATTAACGTTAATGAATTTCAAATCTAGATTGATGACGATTCTTTATTTATGCATCATATATAAAGAAGAAATTAATTAGGAAGAAGTCCTTTCTGTGAGGTTTGGTTGCTGCCATGCCGCAATAAGTGAGCTACATTATTGTTTTTCTTTACTTTCACCATAAGAGCAAAGATAAAATTGACAAAAGACATCAAACTTTCTGCCTCATTTGGCTCACTTGCTTTTATAAAGCCATTATTTCATACATATGTAGTTGCTTCCAACCACAAGCTTTAATTTTCTTTCAATTATTATGCATGAGTGAGCCTTAAGTACTAGACTTCCCAGTTTTCCCTTTCACTGTTGCTCCCATTGATACCTTTCTTATTAATGATATGTGACCTCCCATAATCTATTCTCATTAGATTCCCTACACATTTGCTCTGAATGATCTTCCTTTTCTAAGTGGGTCAATAAGTAAGTTTCAAAATCTTTCACTTTCACCCCATGTTGAGCAAAGACAAAATCATGATATATAACAAAAGACACCAAACTAGTAGCCATTTTGAGCTCTCTCTCTCTCTCTCTCTCTCTCTCTCTCTCTCTCTCTCTCTCTCTCTCTAATATAACTGTAGAATAGCTCTGTATCGGTGTCTTGAACAATAGTCTAGTTCTACTTCGACACTGGTTTCCACATCATTTACAACATGTATTCTTACATTAGCTCTCACTTGTGGCCGGATGGATAGAGTGATGCATGGTTGAAAGCGCCCTCGGTCTTGAGTTCGAGTTATAACAAAGAGTGACCAATTAACATTTAAAAAAAAAAAAGATCAAATGATTGCGATAATAAATTGCATTGGTGAAGATATTGTATTCTGACGTTGAAAACCTCGTCAAATCAGAACAGTTTTCCTGTATAATTACAAACACAGTAATAGTAAAAACTGATTTGACTCATTGAAAAAATTGGATGATGATGTTTTGCCAATTAAACCTAGTTCAATGTATTAGAAAATGGCATCCACTTTGTGAATTTTGATTTGTCCAAGAAATTAAACTTGACTAGTCAAATGCATGAATGTTATTTAAATCATGAAACTTAATTAGGGTTTTCTAGCTAGCTATTGTTTAATTTCCATAGGTATATATGTAGTCAAAAGTACACAAATTCATATATTGATCTCTAAACCCTAAATTTGACTTCCTTGTCAAAAAGCACTAAATGTTAGACTTAGATTACATATAATCAATCACATTATGATTAAATAAAATAAAATGCAGGTGGATGGCTGAGGAAGACACAGTTGTCAACTTTCCCACAGTAAGAATGAAGAGAAGACTGCCGGTTTGGGTCAAAAGAAGAGGAGATTCATCTTGAGCCATGAAAACCATTAGAGTTGCAGAGAGAAACTTTCATATAACACCATTGATAACACACAAGAATCCAACAACAAAACACCAAAACAAACCAAAATAATATAAAATTAGGGTTTGGTTTTGGTCACAGTGCATGCATGCACACGGGTGGGGTGGGGGCTCTCAGAATTATTACTCAGACCCCATAGCTGACTTGTTTGTCTTCTTTCTTATACATATTTATATCTTGACAATTAATTAATATTAGAAATTAATTATTTTTTTTTTCTTTTTGTGGGGAGTCTCCTTTTATGTATTACAACTCATGTAATCAAGCTCAAAGGGTTAACTATGATTAAAGGGAAAATTAACGAAGTTCATCTTTGATATATCGATGGAGCCAATCACTTTTTAAAGGGCTAACTACTAATTATTCATGATAATTAAAGATTAATTATATAATTAAATTAAATTCACTCGTTTTAATTAAATTTTCTATTGATTAAGACATATTCCTACTACTACTACTACTACTACTACTACTTCACTAATTAAAGGTAGGGTAATAGATTCTCGATAAGAAAAGAAAAACGTTTTCAAAGAGAGGTCCACCATTGATGTTTTGCCAGTGAAGCTTCAAATGGTCCAAATGATGGAAGTATTTATATTTATATTCATATTTATATTGACCTCTATTATTTATCTTGAAGTTTTATGGGTTGTTGTTTGTGTACATTCATTCGATCTATAGTTTAATTTGGACCAATAATTCAATAAAAATAATGAAATATCTTTCAGCTGGTTGGTCGAGGCCAGCCACATGTATATAGGTATAATTTAATATATAAAGCATGATTTAAATGTAGAAGGTAGAAATCTAGGTTATATATATATTTGAGTTGGTGATCTAATCATTGAGTAAGAGTAAAGAAATCACGAAGATATTAAAAGTAATTCAAAGAGGTAAAAGTTAGATACAATATGATGCAAATTTAAGTTTAATTTAATTTCTCTCTTGTATTAAACAATATAACATAAGATTAATTTCATAAAGTCATAGATTCTTAATCTCGACACTATGATTTAAGGTTTAGTTGGCTAGGTTACGCAAGCAAGCATGCATGCAAAGCACTACAAATGGCACAAAAAATCCTCTATAGACTATAGTTTAAGGCAAAATGTTAGGTTAAATCTAGGAACGAAAACTATCTGAGTCGATGGTTAGGGCGAATTAGGGACAATGTGGATAGGGGCACAGTCTTATATTCGATTCTCCATTTGAGCATTTGCAATTTAATTAAGAGGTCGTGACGGTGGGTTATTACGCTAGTTTTTACTGAGGATTAGCCGATGTACATGTAAAGTAATCCAGACACTCTCATGCATGTTTTATTATACGGAAGACTTCGTCGTTAAAAAGACAAAAATCTTATATGTGAGACTTGATTGAATTTATTGACAAATATCTTTGGGTAGATGAGTTGAGTTGAGCCAACCATTTGATTTCTAGAAAGAACAAGAAAATGGGTATTTTTTTAGTGATAAATTTTTTCTGATTATGATTAATTCTCCACTAAACAGATACTAAAAACAATTAAACAGTCAATTTTCAACAATTAAAAAGATTGAAAGGGACAAAGAGGAGAAAAAAGAAAATTCATGCTCATCCAAAAACTTAACTTCTCGAAAAAAAAATTAATTAATTAAGTGCTCTCTTTCATGTAGCATTAATCACATAAAACAAAGAGAGATGAGGTCACAATCTTGATTAATCCAAAGATAATGAAAACAAAACACAACACGAAACATTGCTATCGCCTATCGTTATCATATATCCACCATCATCACCATTATTATTATCATTGTCCACATGATTAATTAATTCTTCATTACTATCATTAATCTTCTTTATCTTCTACTTCATCTACATCACCATGAGCGATATATTAAGTAAGAGTTCCTCTTTTGTGCAACCTTATGCACTCCTTTAAAATTCATATTATATATATATATATATATATAACTAAGATATCCGAACCAGTTTACATACACTTCGACTAATCTATGGGAGAGAGGACTACTCTATAGCAACCCACCGCCATGACCCTTCAGACAAATCATGAACAAAGGTATTATCTTTGGGCTTAGCGGAGAATCAAACCTAGGACTATGGGTGGGTGGGTCAAGTCAGATCATATTTACTGATCTCTATCACGATAAAAATTTAAAGATTAAAATTCAGTCACATTTTATTGCATCTAAAACTTTGAAAATGTACAATATGACTAAGTAAGAGTTGTTCTCCAAAATGAACCGTATTCTTTAAATTCGCGATCCTATTTGCTGGCTCGTACTACTAGTGAATACTAAACGACCACAATTGGATGAAATTTTATCGCGTTTGGAAGGGCAAATTTAAAAAAAAAATTTATATTTGTGTATAAATGGAAATCTGAATTATTTAAAAAAAAAAAACCATAAATGTCCGCATTTAAGAATTTTCATTTATTGAGTATTGGTACAAAATTATATGGGTGCGTTTGTTTTAGTATTTTTGAAAAAGTAAGAGTTGGGTGATTATTATGAGGTAGGATTTAAAAATTACAAAAACACTCAATAGGTTTGTTAATTTACTAAACACCCCTTTAATAAAACATTGAAAATTAACAAAAACACCCTCACCCACCCATTAAATACTGGCAACTGGCCACCACCGCCGAAGGGTGGTCGGAGTCATCGTATCGATGCACGACTGGCTGGATCTGGCTAGTCGTGCGCCGATATGGCCTTTTCCAGCTAGATTCACCGTGGATTTGGTCGAAAAATGCCAGATCTACAGCTAGATCTAGCCATTGACGACTATATCTTGGCCGTCGTTGACGACTAGCTATGGCCAAAGACGGTCAGATCTTTGGCCGTAGATCTGGACTTTTCCAACCAGATCCACTGTGGATCTGGCCAGAAAAGGCTAGATCGATGCACTACCGGTCATATCCAGTCGATAGTGCACAATTATACCAGATTTTGACCATCTTCTGATGATATTGGCTAGAATCTGGCAAATGTGGGTGGATGGGGGTGTTTTGTCAAATTTTAAACTTTTTTTGGGGGTGTTCAGTTAAACTAACAAACTTAGAGAGTTTAAAATAATTAAATAAAATATAATAATATTTTCAGAATAGAAAAATAAATGTGTATTTTGGAAATGATAGGAATAAGATAGGACAAAAATAAGGAAACAAACACATCCATAACATTTATAAAGTAATCAAGAGCATAACTTGTGTGGGTTACTTGGGTTTATCTCAAATCGTTAGCCCAAAGACTAAGCCGGGCGGAATTTACTGTTTAAAATGGCTTAAGCCCAAAATATTTGGGGCCCAATATAGTGCAATGCTGTTAGCCCAGCCCAGCCCCGCCCATCAAATGTGTTATCATCAATCGAATTGCCAATTTGTTCGAGGTGATTTAGATTAATCAAATTAATTAATTAACTAATAATCTTCAAAATAAATTTCAAATAAATGCAATACCCTATAAATTGTTCCTCATGATCAAATAAAACTAAGATAATTAATTTCTCAATACAAACATCAAATTCTTGATAAAAAAGGGACGATAGTATCTTGATCGTTGATCAATCAATCATTGTATCATAACGAATTATCAAAAATTATTATCTAATGTTCCTATATTAACGCCAAATGAAATTGACTTTAATTATACTATCTTTAACGAGACTAGCATTAAATAGTTACCTTACAAAAGTGGGATTAACAAACTTAATTAATTAACCATAAAACAAATATTAATTACTGTAATTACTATATAATATTTGTAAATTTTTTAAAATAAAACTAAGCAGCAAAACGAACCGTTTCGTGTTTTTTTTTATTTATTTATCATCTACCTTAACAAAAGCGTCTAGCCATCTGCCACCTGAAACCGAACCAGAAACAGCATATCGCCAGATTTTCTTCTTCTTTTCAATTATAATATTTTATTTAAACCCATACAGAAATCCCAAACTATAGTTTTTACCCCTGATAGAGTCTCTCTTCTCTCAATCGGTTTCGGTAACTATCACTTGTTTCAGACGCTTTCAATTTCGCTCCACATTTTTTACAATTTTCACCTTATTTTGGTACGCTTCTTAAATTAGGGTTTGCGGGATTCTAGTTTTGTTATTTTTGCTTGATTATTTCAAATTTTGAGCTGAATAAAAAATTAGCAGCTGTATTTGTTTATCGAGTGTGAAAATTTTAGTATTTTTGGCTTTTCGAGTTTCTCGTTAGCTTAAAAGTTTTTTTTTTTTTTTTTCTTTTTTAATTTTTAGGGTTTTTTTTTTGGGGTTTTTCGATGTTTATGTGATGTTGATTGCGTAATTTTTTTTTTGTTTTTTATTTTTTTTATTAATCAGTAGAAACGGAAAAAAGAATAGTCTATACTTTTTTGGTTAATTTAAAAGTGAAAACATTTTCATAAGGAAAAATAAAAATAAAAAAACAAAGATCATAGGAAGTTGGAGAATGTAAGATTGTTCTGTGGTGGGTTTTTTTTTGGCATGTGATGGAAATTGAGTTTTGTTGACTGTAGATAGGGCTTTGTTGAAGTTTCTGCTATTCTACTGTAACATTTCATGAAATTATTTATGTTCTTATGCAAAAGTTTTTAAGTTTTCTAATGGTTTTCTTTGGATCACTTGGAGTATAGGGGACCTTGTTCTACCCACCCTGGTTATTATGACAATATATTTCATGAAATTTTTGAAGCGAGTTTGTGTCTCTTTAGAATTGCAAGTTCTTTTGATTCTTTGCCCTCTTTTTTATGTTGTATGTTGCAAGCGTTCTAGAATCTGATTTTGATGTTAAAGCATTAGGAATAGTTTTTGCTTCTGTTTTTAATTGTCAGAATCTTAGTTCTGTTTGAGTACATTTCAGATAAGATTTTTAATTAAGTAAAAGCTTCAATAAGATTCCAATTGCCAGATTCTTGGGAAAATTCAGTACAGATGTTATGTTTCATTTTCTGTATTTATGCAGGGTAACTCCAAATGGCTGGTAGAAATCGTATTCCTCGTGAAGCTTATAGTGACCGACATGGGTTCCCACCTGAAAGAGCCTTCATTCGTGGCCCTCCTTTGCCACAGCCACGTCCCCATCCTGCTTTATTGGAGGAAGAACTTGAATTGCAGCATGCTGAAATCCAGAGACTCCTGGGTGATAACCATCGGCTAGTTGAAGATCGAATGGCTATGCAGCGAGAGCTTGCTGCTGCTAAGGAGGAGCTTCATCGAATGAATATGATCATAGCTGAAATTCGTACAGAACAAGAAGTGCACTTGAGGGACCTTGTTGAGAAAGGATTGAAGCTAGAGGCAGATCTTCGTGCAACTGAGCCTTTGAAAAAGGAGGCTGTACAACTCCGTTCTGAAATTCAGAAGCTGAATAATATTAGGAATGAACTAGGCGGACAAGTTCAGACCCTCCAGAAAGATCTTGGAAAATCGCAAGCTGATAATCAACAGATTCCTCATTTGAGGGCAGAAGTTGATGGCCTGCACCAGGAGCTTATGCGTGCTAGGTCTGTGTTTAAAGTTTCCTTCGCTATATATATATATATATATAGATATATATATATTATATATATATATAGTTATCTTTTGCTCTCAAGCTCAATGTGTTTTGTACTACTTAAACTCAATCTTGAACTTGATCTTTTTGTGGCTGAGAACTATATCTACTGTAGAGCTGCTGCTGATTATGAAAAGAAGGCAACATTGAGCTGGTAGAGCAGAGACAGGCAATGGAGAAGAATTTGGTTTCCATGCTCGTGAAGTTGAAAAGCTACGTGCTGAACTTGCTAGGGTTGACAGTAACCATGGGGTGCTGGTATGTCCTGTCTGTTATATAGTTTCTCAAAGAAGGGTGAATATATTATTTTCTTTTGTAGCATCCCTTGAATTGTAGTGTGATATTGAAAAAGATTTGTTGCATGCTTGTCATAGTATTCTGCTTTTGTTAATACATGTTTTAATTTGCAAGTTAAATTGATTCTGATGTTTCCCTTGTTGAGAAATATCCACTTTGTCACCATAGAGAACAATCATTTTTTCATTGTTTGATAGTGTATCAATTATCACTATATAATATAGCCAATAACTGGGTTTTGGCCAATAACAAGCTTTCTTCATTTTCTATTCAATTGTTTCTCTCTCTTTTTTTTTTTTTTTTTTTTTTTTTTTTTTTACCTTTTGTGTCATAATATTTCTATCATGGTCTCACTTGAAGTTCGTTAACAAGACATATTATCCTGATAGTACTTGTTGGCTCCAATTTCCAAGGTTTCATTGCATTGTTATACCTTCTAACCTTGTTATCCTGACTTGTGGTTGTCAAGGTGGGCCATATGGGTTGAATTTCAGCAGTCCCGAGGGAGTTTTTCCTGGTACTTATGGAGATGGATATGGGGTTCATCGGGTATTTTTCATTTTGGAATTCTTATTTTAAATTTGGTAAAATTGGATTATCTTGCTGGATCTGCCTAATATTGTTTTAACCATGGTCCTGTGCCATTTCTCAGAGTGTTGCTGACAAGGGGCCTATGTATGGCCCAGGTCCTGCTTCATGGGAGAAATCCAGAATGAGTCGTCGTTAGTGTCTGGTTGCTTGTTGGTGGATTTGAAGAAATGAAAAGTTTGTCCTTTTTGGCTGCCCCGCCACGGAGTCCAAAATATAAACCAGAAAGAAGTATTAATCATCTGTTTGTTCACTCCACATCAATAGTGATTTATCTGAATGCAGTGTTAGTTACCCTAAGCTGGCTTTTATAGGATTTTAATGTTGCTTTGATTTAATTAATAGAGACCATTGTTTCTCTTTTCATATATGCATTATGATATATTTATTTGGCTTTCGGTGTCTTTAACTCTTAATGGCTGGTTCTTTTTTGATGTATCATATCTTATGATTCTTATTATTCTTGGTGCATTTGTTTATGATATATGTGTAAAAATTTAAGTAGAAGTTAGCAACTCTTAACTAGTGCGGTCCTTGGTTTTTGCTGGAGTTTTCTGTTGGAGATATATGGACTTTTGTAATAAAAGCATTTTGGTTGTAGTTGTTGATATAAGGATGGCCACTTTTGTGGACGTGTGAAGAGAGCATTCTCGACATTCTATTGGGTGAGTGGTGATCAAGATATCATGCATTAGAGTGTAACTGTCCGAATTTTTTGTTATTCATATAAGATTCTATGAGTTGTCTGCTGCTTGCTTTTATACCCTTAGTCTTTAGGTTTCACCATTGGAGAGTCCAGACTGTGTGGCTGCAGTGGATTTTGACGGTTATTGAAATAACGTACACTTATTGTCACCAATATGTGGAATTCCAGAGTGAAGATTGTCTGTTATTCACATTCATTGTGAATTTCCTTCAGTACCAATTTTAAGTAGTGTTTGAAGAATATAGGTTTACTTTTGGTGGCAGGGTATGTATGGTGATTCATTGAAATTAAATTTTTTTTCTCCTGTTATATGATTATATTACGACTGTAGAACCCTGTTAATGTTCTTGTCAAATTGAGAATGTACTAAAGGGAAAGATCTTTGTGTGATTTTAACCATTGGTTTTGATTGGATTTGTCTTGGTGGAAGAAGTGTAACCTTAGGTGTACTTGGCATTACTTATTGCTTCTGCTTTTCTAAATCATGGAGCCAGTTTTTGGGCCAACTACTTCCAAAGTTGTGTAGGTTTATCCGGTGAATGTGAAGGTTGCTTGCTCATGAAATAAATCAGTATATGTTATTATTTTGGTTAATTTTTCCCATCCAAGTTTATAGGAATTCTAGGAAATTTTAGTACATCAGAGAGTGGACTTCAAGGTTGTAATAGTCCTTCCTGTAATTAGTTTTTGGATGATAGTTTTGAAGTTTGATCATATTCTCTAGCTCAGAGATGGTTGGGTTTGGCTTATAGCAACCATATGGTGGAAGAATGGAGATGGAGTAGCGTACTTGGAGGAAGAAAAGATTGCTCAATGTTAAGATGCACTAGATGATGAATATCCTCATACTTCAGTTTTGTCCCTTCAAAAAGTATTGGACATTGGTTTGGAGTCTATCCTATGGCTTCCTTGATGAAGTTTCATTTAGAGATCGCTACGAGTTTATGACTCTTGTTTTGCACGGATTTTCTAATTCATTTTATTCTTGGTTCTGCACTGTTGTATACTGGTCAAGATTATGACCACTTGTATCAGTACAAAACTGCTTCTTTATGTATTGAGATGACCCTGGAGTTTCTGAAGGATGGTGGCATGCCATGTTGCGAGAGACGGGCTTCTGATCTATCCTTTGTAGGCAAGTATTCTGTCTCTGTTACATGAGTTTTGTGGATCTGGATATTGATATTGTTTCTGAGCTAAATTTTTAAATAGACATAGTAGTATAGCATTATGCTGATACAGTGCTCCCATAGTTTCATTCTTTGATGATCAATGTTTTAGCTTTCTTTAGATCCAATATGTTGAAAATTCACATTGAAGTAGGCTATAGGCGTTACTTCATTGCAGTATCTTTTTTTTGGGATATGGGAAGTTTTACTAAGCCACTTGGTTTCAAGTTTTGACATCCATTTGCTCAAGCCTATTCTGTTAATAACTTCAACCAGTTGTTCTTCCTTTATCCATGCTAATTTAACCAAGAGAGCTTTACGATGTACCAGAATTCTGTTTTCAGCTGTCTTACTCTTAACAGGTTCCACTAAACTGTTGTGTTGCTTCATTTACCAGAATTAGGAATGTTGGAATAGTGCTGAAATGACACCACTCAGGGTGATATAAGATCTTTCTGGGCCAAGTAAATTGTTGGATTCTTAGATATTGTAGATTTATGTGATTTTCACTTGAAAGGTCAATGTTCCATATTGACATACTGATAAGAATTTGGTATAGTACATTATAGTATATTATATATGTTTCTTTAGAACAGGAAGATGATCTCTCCTGACTGAAGAGGAAAGTTTTGGACTTTAATGATATGAATAGGAAATATTGTACACAAACTATAGAAGGTTTATTTAGTGATCCTCTACTGAGATGAGTCATTTTCTATTTCTTGGGGCCCTTGCAATTTTCAGAAAATTCGAAAATGACAAAAGTTGTTTGTCTGTATGGAGTATGTGGATAGTAGAGAAATGTAAGAAGTGGAAACAATTCTGTTTTAGTTGTTCTCAGTTTTGAAATGTTTAAGATAAGATCTGTAATGTTCTTATGGTATGAATAACCAAAAAGTGGTATCACTCATTGCAATGGTACTTATTTAGGTGAAAGGAGAAAGCATTTGTTCAATCATACATGTGTGGTCGGTGACACCAGATGGATTAATTAGCTTATACCAACTTAGGAAGAACGTTTTAGTTTGTTATGGTGTTGAATTTTTGTTTAGAGAGGTAACTAATCGGCTTACATGGATTTTTAGCAAATGTGAGGATAGAGCTGATTATCTTTGGTTTATCCTTTTCTACCTGTATCATTTATAGGCTTTAGAAGCATTCTCCTTCGAAGATAAATATACTGGACTCTGATTATATGAAGACCATGATGTTAAGTGTTGCTGAAGTAAGTGTTTACTACTGTCAGGGTAATGATTGCCGCAGAGATTAAGACTCTTAAGGAGTGGTTGAAGTTTGCTTCTTAGGCTTACTCATGGTGCAGTGGTAAGAATAAAGCCCTAAAGTATTTGTCTCGTGGCCTCCTGTTTGGTCAATTAAAAATTCTGGCTTTAACTAGAAGCTGTTGGCATGACTGTTAAATTAGGAGTGAGGTGTTGTCCTCGGGATCATTCTGTGTTGCTTGTATTTGCTGCTTTCCCCTTTATTTCAATTGGTTATAAACGTTTCAAAAAATTGCCTTAATGGTTGAACAAATTAGTTTTATTCTTTTAGTACAAGCTTTTTTGAAATCATATTTTCCCGTGCTGCTACTTCCTAGATTTCTCCTGATTTTCTTTTTAATGTTTTGCAGATCAGAAGGAAAGCTGTTACTGTTGGGAACAGGAATTAAGAATATCAGGTACCTACAGTAAGGGTGGTACTGAAGATGCTGCTTTCAGTCCAGCTTTAGTCGATGATGGTGTAATGGTTACATTCAAGGAGCATCAAGACAAAAAATTCACTCATAACAGAAATGATCCGCGCATTGCACAAAATGGGTAAACATTAACTTTAGTTTCAAGGAATGGAAATTTTCTCAGTGCATGGACTCCTCTATTTAGTAGTCAGGATATAGAGTGTAGAAGCACCAGCACCAAGAATGGTTGCCATGTAAGTAGCACTGAAACAAAGAGAAGCTGTTTGCTTGGAGGGAGTTTGATAAAATGCTGTAAGTACAATGCTTGGCGAAACATTCTTATGGCCTGCAAGCTGATGTCATTTCGAAGATTTTCAAGAATAAACCCCTTACACATCAAAGAGATATGGATAATCTGGTTCGTTAGATTTTTCTATTAAATTACCAATCTTTGGACTGCAAGTTAGTTTTAACAATCGCTTATTTTTTCTTCAACATTAACCTTGTGAGAAACTGATTTATATGAAACGAAGGAAAAAAAAGTGGAAATGGATCCCTTTCTTTGTTTAGAAGTTGCTTCTCGCCGAAAATTAGTCTTGATTTACAGGTACGACATAAGAATTTTTTTTTTTTATTTCTTTCCGCTTAGCTAGTAGATTATTTTAGCAAAGGAAAATGTTACATTTACGATCTGTTTTCACAAATTTTTTCTCACAATTCCGACGTGGCAATTCGTAATGGGTTTTACCTATGTTTCACTAGATAAATTACAGCTAATCAATTGCGAGTTTTTCCATCGGGGTTGTGAGAGATTTTGTGATAAGAGAAAAAGTTTATGAGAAGAGATTGTGAGTGTAATGTTACTCTTCAACAAATTAACTACATGAATTATCTCCATTGCTTTGGTTATTTCATCAAAACAAGTAGTCTAAGGAAGGCTACTAGTTTTTCAAGATGGCACAAGCTCCGTGCTATAATGCAAGAATGTGCACACGTGTGTTTGTGCACGAAATTGATGGTTTGAGAGAGAGATACAGAGACAGAGAACATCAACTGCATATGTGAAATCTGAAAAAAAAAATATATATATATATATGTCGCTAACAATAATTTTCTTTAAAGTTGATATACAAGATGGTGACAATACAAGACCTTGCACTGGAGGGATGCGTTATGCCTCCAGAAATAAGGTGGGAACAAATTTGGAAGTAAAGTGTGAATCTCAAAGCATTTCTGAACATTTGGCTTCAGTAAGAAGAGAGCTGCTTGAGCATGCCCAGATGACTAGATCCTCAGTCATCAACTTCAGTGTTGAATATAAAACTTGGAAACACAGTGGTGATTTCCCTGAAAGAATATGAAAAAGACATTGTAATCTTCATTTGAAAATAAAAGAAGATAACATATATATTAGAGATGATTCAAGCTTTAATAAAATGGAAGTAAGGTGTACTTCAAATAAGGGAGAGTCATGTTCTTTATAAGTGAAGGGTGCTTGAAAACAAAAGTTCTCCATTCTTCTTTATTAATTTTGCCATCCCTATCAACATCAGCTTCAATAAATGTCTGTGAAAAGAACCAAGTCAAGAGCAGTTTATATAAAAAAAGCTTCAAGAACAAAGATGCAACATGAAAAATTTCTTGCCTTGCTAATGATAGCTTCAAGCGATTCGTTCGGAAGTTGCAGGCCGGATTCTTGTAAGATGGCAACTACCATTTGCCTGACCTGAAAATGCATAAAACAATTCGATTCTACATAAAGGGTCTGCCAAACAAGAGTTATTTCTTATTTGTGAAGAATAAAAAAAAAAAAAAAAAAAATTAACCAGTACTCACTTCTTCTGGCTCTATATATCCAGTCTCTTTTAAATCATAAAGCCTAAATGCAACTGCATGAAAGCCAAGGGAAAGCAATGGTTTTATGAATACTCAAAATTCTGATAGTAGAAAGTGCAACTATAAATAGCTTCTTCAACACTTACAATCAATTTTCTTATCTGTTGAAGTACAAGGATGAAAGATACTAAGTGCATGGACAAACTCCTCAAATTCAATAACCCCATTTTTCTTCTCATCAAAAAGATCAAATACCTGCAAAGAATTTCATTTCATAGAAAAAGAGATTATCAACATTACAAGTCTTTTAAGTCTAAGTTTAGAACATAAATAAAGGTTAATTCAGTTCATTGCCAAGTTAATTGCATTTTCCCCCTTGGGTTCCGATCAACAAGGGTATATATTTGATGACTTGGGTGTCCAGGACAATTTGCGTGTACCTTAACAAATCTTCGAAATCCATTAAACATTCTACAAGTCCAATGGGTTAAGTAAATCACAAATGTGATATGTGGTTATTTTCTGTGACTTGAACACAAAACCTCTGAGTAATCTAAGGTCTTACCCTCCGGCCATAAGCCAAGTGAAGGATCTAGATATTACTGTTTCAAATACACATAAATGTTTAAAAAATCCCTTAGTTAAAAGTAAAATGACCTAAAAAAACCCCAAACATGAATGTTAAAAATTTCATTGATATTTAACCATTACATCAATCAAACCTAAATCCTTCAAAAGAAAGATACACAACTTAAAAACCATTCAATTTAAAATTTTCATAGCATTTTAGTTTTAGTTAACAATTTTGATTAATGTCCCTTGAACCCGGGAAATCGCCAAGTATTTAAAACGGAAAAACCAAGATCATAGTAGACTGAAACTAGAGGGATGATTAATTTTTTTTTCTCTCTTTCCTTGCCCTAGTGCCCTCCCTAAGATGAGGGTGGTATCATCTAAAGTTGAACCAAATCATGGAAGAGATGGATGAAACGTTAAGCAAAAAATAAAGCAAATGATGGGAGTATACCCTATCGAGGAATATATTCTCGCCAACTGAAGTTTGGAGTAATGCTAACCGGAGCTCTTCCTTCAAATAAAAAACAAAGAGGTTAATAAAATCCTAGAGAGACTATAACAGTAAATATTTTATCAGTATGTACTATTGCCACAACATTCAAGCAAGATGTACAGAAAATATAACAATCTAGTAAATTTGCCAGAGGAATGGGATCTATTTTTGGATGAAAAGGTTCAAACTTTCCATTGACATCTAAAATTAATGTCAAATTTCTGGATTAACTAGGTAAAATTTGTTCCTTTTTGGTCCTGCGTTGGTTTCCTTTTGGGTTTCATGTAAGCGTCTGTTATCCAAAACCAACCAAATAACAAAAAAAAATCATAATTACAAAATGTATCAACCGTAGGGATTTGAACTTAAAACTTTTTATCTATGACGACTTCACGAGATATGAGGTCCATAAAATGAAGAGTTTGTCACATCCCACATCGCTAGCGAATAAGTTTGAGATTCAATACTTTAGGTTTACTAATTTTTTGTATGTGGTCTTCCCAAATTTCTGAAATCTAATTGTTTATGATAATATAGAACAATTTAAACAAGATTACAACTCCTGATCCTAGTTGAATTCCTGGACAACTTCCATTTCATTTTAGAACTGAACACAGTCACCAGGCCATTGCAATTTCTCAGAGTAAAACTCAATTCAACTGCCTCATTTTCAGATATGCCCACATAAAACAAAAACAAGATTTCTGTTACCTTGTGAATTAGCCCATCATCAACGATGGAACTGCTCAACTTCTTGAATAATTCGTGCAGGGCCTCTACCTCGTTTACACTAACTGCAACAACATCCCCATAATCAAACACAGAAAAACCCCAAATCACATATAATCAAAACATAATAAACATGCCAATATAATATAACTATTTATGCATATGTGATACAAACATGGGGAATTATTAGCAAGGCGAACAAAATCACTGAATGTGTTTTGAAGCCTAGGTGGACGATGGTGATCAAAGCAACCGGCTAAGCTGAAGATCAGTTCCTCTATCAAGATTACCAATGGCATGAACACAGCACATATCTTGTTGCCTACTGTAAAAGAGCTTGATCCCTTATGAATTCACATCAAATTCAAACAAAAATACAAACCCCAAGTTAGATTAACATAACAAATATTGATTTTTCTGGGTTTGGTGGGTGAAAAAACCAAATTTTGTATCAAATACTCAATCTGTTTCATGTTTTCTCATGAACTCAACAGAGGAAAACCAAAAAGAAAAAAGAAAAAAATAATTGAAGTAAAAATTCCTTTAAAGAGAGAGATTACCCATGAAGAGCTCATTGAAGGGTTCATTTCTGGGTCAAAATATCTGAATTTCATCTCAATCTTTATGCAACAGCAATACTTTTAACAGCCACTCAATAACTACCATAATATGTCTTCCAAGAACACCTCTTCACACAAATGAAAAGAGAGAATAATGTTTGGCACGAAAGAGAGATAATTCTTCAAGAATAACAATCCAATTTAGCCTATGATTCCTTCAGCAACTGTTTCAGAGTTTTTCTGGATTAAATTTTTGCTTCAAACTTTCCAGCTGGTATAGCTCTAATAAAGAGATGTTATGCATATAATTCATCCTAAAAAACCATATGTTAAACATTTTTATTTTATTTTTTCAACCCAATTGGATTGACCCACATCACATGAATTAATTATTCTTTGAAATGCTCCACCTGGGTCCTAGGCCAGATGAGATAAGATTGGAGGAAGGCTGATAAAGTAGAATACGCCAACTGCCATGGTTAAAATAATGGGATGCTTGACGTATTTAACTAATGTTGTTAATAATAAGTTTATATTATTATAACTTGGTAATCATGATTAGCCTTGATGATATTAAACTAAATGGAACTGGGATTTTGATTATTAATGGTCGGTTGTCGTCTACAAATTGAAGTCTATTTGGAGGAAGAAGTGAGTATGGTGGAAGCTCGTCATTGGCCATGGAGTGTCTTGAAAGAAGAATCATTATAATAAAGATTACTCTCAAATAAAATAATATTCTTCTAATGGAGATAGTTCACAATAGAATTCAGTTGCTGGGAGCATGTCAAAGTTGTTCTTGTCTCTTAGCTTTTTCCCTTCTTTAATTTGTTGGTGGGGTTTCAGCAAAACCACTGACTAGTTTTGGATAATGTTGTAGGATTGTGGGGAAGATGGTTTTTGTTCATTAAAAAAAAATAAAAAATGTTATTCTTTCTTAAAAATGGAATGAACTTTACTACATGTTTTGTTAAACAATTAGATTTTACATCAGTGCTTTGTGGTATATTTATACATTTATGATAAATACATAGTTAAAGACATACATGTGCAGATTCATTAGTTGGTTGGTTGGATGACATGACTACGTGGTGAAAATAGGAGGCAAGACTTTTGATCTCTTTCCCTTTACTAGAGTTTTTGTATCAGGAAAATAGCTACCACCATCACCAAGTTCCTCAACCAAGCCGTCCTCTGTGACATTCACAGGGTAAGTTACAAGGTGCACACCTTCCATGTCTACAACTTCTTCACCACTATAGATTTTCCACATATGCTCTCCTATTGAATGTATTTTCTTTACACATTCCAGATTTTGAGGCTCCTGAAACAATTCATCAGCAACTCCAGTGTGCTCATACCATAGTGACATTCTGTATGCATGGATATCTCCATAACTTGTGTTGTTTTGATCTCCATTTCTGACCAGCTGGTAACACCCTATTGCAATTTCTGTGTCTCTCTGTCCATCCATGGATCTTTGGTTTATATTTGCTGATCCTATCAGAAGGTATGCATCATCCACTGAAAAAAAACACACAAACCCATCAAGCAAAACTTGGTTAGTTCTTATTTACAATTATAAATTTGCTGAGAAAATACTAAACAAAGAGAGATAATATTCACACCTATCATGAGCTTTGAGTGCACATACACCATGAACCTCCTATGCTTCTGAGCATTCCAATATTGTGTCAATGGCTGAGGATAATATGGAGGTTGAAACTCCCCATTGCTCTTCTGTTCCCTATTTGCAAGACAAAAGAAGTTCAAATAATCTCTGGGGTGACCCACCTCACCACTTTGTTTTATGGCTTCTCCAATCAATTTATACATCATTTTCATTGTTTCTCTAGTCCAATGCAATATATCCTGAACCGGTTCACTCTCAGGCTCTCCTTCAGGCCACATTGGTATTAATATGTACACTGCAAACCTCTCCTTTGCCTTAATCTTATTCACCACCTTAAGTGCTATCTCAATAGGAATCAAGTTTCTGCAGCCACTGTGCTTATCTTTCTCCCACAAATGGCAGCCTCCAATGAAGTACTGATTCTCAATGTATATAAACCTCTCGGCACGCCTTATCGCTTCAACATAAGCTTCATGTATGCTTTGCTCCACAGTTAAGTTTTTAGCTAGTTGGGTAGCTGACACATGGTCAATTGATCTGAAAACTTGCACCTTCCAGTTTCTTGCATTGGAAATGCTTGAAGTCGAAGCAATGTTAGATTGGCGAACAAGATTCGGTATACTGCTAATGGGGAATAACAAGGAAGGGTTACATTGTTTAGTCCACCTTTGCTCAAAATTTGTTAACACATCCCAAGCAGCTTCACCAGTGATACAAGCATGGACATCATGCCATGGCTCTCTTGGCCCTCCTTTGTGAAGGCTAGCACCGGCGATATTTATCTGATAGAAATCGAAACAGTGTGATTCTTTGTTAAGAGCGTGAAACAAGGAATGTTTTTCTGTGTCATAGCGGCCATCACAGAGGTCTAAGCCACCAACAAAGCTCATGATTTCTCTGTCACTGAAAGAATTTTGTGCTCTAGTGTCTACAGTTATAGTCTTTTGGTGGTGAGCAAATAGAGTGGGGAACTTGTGGTGTAATCTAGGACATAATTTGCATAAAACCTTAGTGTGTTTGAAGTAAGCAAAAGCATCTTCATCATGAGTTCTCATCACCCCTTGGTTCATGATAATTGGTAGGGATGTTTCATCATCCCACAGCATGATTCTCACAGCTACACCTTCCTCAGCTTTATGTTTCAGCAATTCACCAAGCTTCACTCCTTTCGCATATGGAATACTGGTTTCAAGATGGCGAACCTGCTTAAAACCGTGTTAGATTCTAAAACCAATAAGGAAAATTATTGCGTGCAGTACAAAAAGAAACACTGTCAGGTATTGGGTTCAACCAAGTAGAAATTGTTTGTTTTGAAAGCAGACTCTCACGGATTTGACCCAGGACTTATAGACTGAATCTCAAACTTATTCACCAGGCAACATGAGATGTGGCAAACACATTCTAGAATACACATTAAGAGTACCGCCTAAATAATAAAAGAAAAATAATGTCAAACAGTGGATTTTAGTTTTATGTTTCAGCAATTCACCAAGCTTCACTCTTTTCGCACATGGGATATTGGTTTCAGTATCTCTAACCTGCTTAAAACCATGTTAGATTCTAAAACCAAGAAGAAAAATTATTGTGTGAATAAACACAAAAAGAAACACACTGTCAGATATTAGTCCAATCAAGTAGAAATTGTCTGTTTTGAGAGCAGACTCTCACAAATTTGACCCAAGACTTATAAATTGAATCTCAAACTTATTTCCCAGGCAATATGAGATGTGACAAACACAATCTAGAGTACACATTAAGATCGCCTAAATAATAAAAGAAAAATAATGCCTGACAGTGGATTTTAGTTTACCAGAACCATCTTGGGATTGAGAGACCAGCCTGCAATGTATATCAGATGTTTTGCACCTTCAATGGCCCTGTAAACATCCTCCCATAGCTTTCCCGGAGAGCCACAGAGATCAAATGGAGGCAGAAATGTCGAGCTATGATGAGCATCATGATAAAGTTTGACATTGCAATTCGATCTCTGAGGAAATGAAGCATTCCTCAGGCCCTGGAATTCACCATTATCAAGAACTGTCCTCCAGGATGGTTCAAACACTGCTGGTTTGAACCATAACATGAACCTGAGCTTGAGCTCTTGGCTCGGCTTTCCATTCTCCGTGATCAGAGGAAAGAACCCATTAATCAAACTCGCCTCATGAAGTATTTCATGAGCTTGAATGTGTATTTTTCCCAAGATTGAGCACTTGGTTTTCAAAGTAATGGTGATAGTTGAATCACAGGGATGAGCACATAGAATTTGGAAGGTTTGGTTCCAAACTCTGTCGCGCTCATAGCTTGTCTTCACCACCTTCTTATTGTCTATCTTGATTGTTACATAACTAGGCTTCCCATTCGCAACAATGCACTGCAAAATACACCGATAAAACGATAAACTAATCTTGTTATTAATTAATACGTATCAGTATCATAGAATGACTCCAGAAAATTTACTTACATTGAAGGGAAATGAAGGGGTGTATGGTGTGGCATCAAAGATGGTAGCTTCAAGTGTTCCATGGAGGAATTTAAGCTTGCCCTCCATTGCTTCAAGATTGAGAGAGATGGGAAATGTTTGATTTGGTAAGAAATGTTTTGTCATTTCACTGTTATATAAGAAATGGAATTGGAGCAGCAATGGAAAACTTGGAATGCAAATCATGAATGAAGGTGTTGGCAGTTGGAGAAACTTATGAAATTAATTTTTTTATGTAAGTTTTAGACTTAGAGGCAACCTTTTAAGTCTTATCTTAAGTTTTCACTTCAAGTTGAAGTTTCTTAAACTCAAATCACACTTCTCCTAAAACAATGGAATTTTGTTATATGTTGCAGGTCAATTAAGGCAGAACCAGAAGTACTTCATAGATTCAGGGCTGACCATATTTGATGAAATCATCAAATTAAACAAATGAAAACTTGTTAGTTTGTGTGAACATTGCTTGCCAATTCTGGTTGAAGCTATGGGTAATCTCATTGAACCCCCTAAAGTTTGAGGAAGTATAAGCCCCCAATATGTTTAGAAATAGTCAAGAAATCTCTTTTTATTGGTATCCGTTGAATTAGGTAACTCATTTCCTGTGTCTTTGTTTCTATGTTATATTTAAGAATTATTGTCAATACCTCCGTGTGGGTTCGGGATAATTCTTTGGCCCATGGACGAACTCACTTACTCATGAGTGGGGGGCTAGTGACCCCACTAAAAAAAAAAAAAAATCATTAATTTGGTTTAATTTTTTGCTTTGATCAAGTTGTATTGACTTACAAACTGTAATAGTTATTTTCTACTCAAATACTCATAAAAGATACATAATGAAAATATATGTAAAATAAAATAAATAGTTGGACCCAAATTTGTTTTTTTGAAACATATACATTCTTTATACAAAAAGTTATATTATGTACAAAAACATCAAAAACAAGGTGGACAATGCAGTCATTTCCCTTCGCTTGCCGACGCCCATCTGACTGTGTCCTCACCTAGATCCTGCAAAACATGAAAAACAACGGGGTGAGCACAACTAATACTCAGTAAGTAAATCCTCTACGCATCTATCCCCGTAACTATCTCTCTCTAATTTTTTTCTTACAATTCTCATTTACTCTCGCTCTTATACCTCTCTCTATTTTCTCTTTCTCATAACTCTTTTCTACTAACTCTCTTTAGTAGTCATGGTCT